ATGAAAAAATAAAATATTTTTTATTTAATGTTGATGAGAAGATTATTTTTTAAAATACATATATTTGATTTATATATATATATATATATAATCGTTAGTTTGTATGGAAAAAAAGTAAAGATTGATTTTTAAAAATTTTAATACCCAATTAAATAAAAAAACATAAATTGATGGAAAAAATCAAAGAAAAAAAGAAAGAAAAGGCATGTAGTGCATCGGCTAGGGATTAAAATTTTTATTTTAAAATTTCGGGGATTAAAATGAAATAATTTGAAAATTAAAAACTAAGGAAAAAAAAGTAAGAGTGAATTACCAAAAAAAAAAAAAAAGAGAGAGAAGAAATAATCTGAAAATTACAAAAAAAAAAAAACCTAAGAAAAGAAGAAAAAAAAGAGTGAAAATTTAAAAAGAAAAAAAAACACCTAAGAGTGAATAGTATATTGTAAGGTAAAAAAAAAAAAAAGTAAAAAAGGAGTGAGTAGTACAAAAAAGGTTTAGGATAGTAAACTTTATTTAGTTTTAGTATAGTAAAGATTAAAATGAAACATAATAAAAATTTAATGACTAAAATAAAAATATATCATAAAATAGAACAATTGTTTTTTTTTTTTTTACTAAAATTCAAGAAAAAAATATTTATTATAAGGATAAAATCAAATTATATATATATATATTACAAGGAAAAAAAAAGGCTAGGCAAGCTGTTGGGTTGCTTGGTTCAACCCAAAAGGCTACCGGGTTCAACCAAAAAAAAAAAAACAACTATTCATTGAACATTGAAAGGAAAAGTAGAAGGTACAATAAAAGTGACTTCTGTTTTACACTATTAGTAATTGAAACATCTTATCCTTTATGGATCAAATTAAAAAGTCCTATGGATAGGAATTTTTTTTTTTAATTTATAAATCACAATTGCTTAAAAAACTAAAATAAATAAGAATGAAATTCACGTTGTGCTCTTATACTATTCAGTATTATTTATTTTAATCTCGTACGGTGCAAAACAAGCCTCGTAATACTCAAAGTTAGGATGACCAATTATATAATATCACATGGTTAACGAAGTTGAATGAAAAAACTGGTTTATCTCAATTTTAAATATTAAAGATTTTTTTGCATCATATATGAACAGAAAAATTAAAATAGACAATACTAGATAGTACAATGATTTGGATCCATTAATAAAATGATAATTTGTGTTAATTAGCAAAATAATACATTAATGAGTCTATATAATAACTTTATTTCTATTTTCATTAATCATTTTCTTATTTTTTAAAGAAATTATAGAGTTTTTTTTATTGATTTTTTTAAAGAAATACAAAACAGCTAGCTATACCTCTTCCTACCTTTGTTATTCAAGTAACCATTTTGGCATCTTAAATTCTGCCTCCTATACGGCGGCAGCACTCGGCATCTTCAGCTAATTATTCTTTTGTAAGCCATTAAAAATAAAATAAATTTCTCTAATTTTATCGATACCAATAATTACGCAATCTAATTCATATCTTTTTACTTAATTTTCTTGATTTAGGACCGTCTAAATGGTATCTTTAAGGTACAATAACGTTGTTTTTGAAGTGGATTTTGGCTTTTTGGCATGAAACAAATAATTTGTCATTATCAATCTTTCATGTGAAAGGGTTCTTTAGAAGACAAATATTTTTTCCATTGAATAAATTTTTTTATTTTCCTACTGTCCGTGCATAATGGCAAAAACTATTGTCTCACCAGACAGCAAAATCAAAGAAGCAAGAAAGTAATCTTTTAAAATTGTAATAAATTTTAAGGTTAAGGACTCTATCTGTCATTATATAATAGAGTAACTCTTCAATTTATTTTTATATCTTTAGTTGCATTAATTTTATCTTTAAATATACATTAAATGTTTAATTCATCTTTCTGGCAAGAATTTTAATGAAAATTAGTTATAAGATTTGCATATAAAAATCTTCTATTAGAGTATTTTAAAACTAAAAATTAATTATCTACAAATCATATGAATTATTCTTGTCATTTGACATAAAAATTTTAATAAAAAAATAGGTTAAAAACTTAATGTATATACAAGAATAAAATGAATTTAATTAAAAATATAGAAAGAAATTGAAGAATTAATAAGTACATATTGAACTATTAAACTTAAATTTTAAAGGTACAGTTTCTCATGCCCAATAAACAAGAAAAAATCACAAATATATGGGAGCAAAAGTTTAAGAAACCCTACTAATCAACAAAGTAAAAAAATAAAAATTAACAGCCACGAAAATAAATCTCAAAATGTCACAAACAAAAATACCAATCACTATAAGAGCTAATTAAATTGTGTTTTTTTTTTATGTTCTATTTTAATAAATTCATTGAACAAGTTTACGAGCTCTTTTTCTTGCTTTTATTCATTGTAAAGCCTAATCACAAGAAAAACCTAATTGTAAGACAAAATTCAAGGAACTATAATTTGTGAAAAAAATTAAAAATTGAAAATTAAATAGTAAAACATAAGAGAGAAGAGAGGAGAGGACATACTCGTTAACGTTTCTTCTGGTGGAGAAAATTTAGTTTTTGATCAAGCCACAATGAACAAATTAATTTTATAATGGGATCGATCGTTATAATGAATAATACCCTAGAAAAATTAATTAGGAAATTCCTCTTAGGGGTGAGTGTAATTTGATTAGGAAAATTCTTATTCAGTAAATAAATAAACGTATAAAATATTTGATACAGAAGAAGTATTAAAGTAATTGAAAAGAAATAACGAATATTAAATTAGGATATACAATTATTTAATATGCATATATTAGGATATACAATTATTTAATATGCATATATTAATATAAATAATATGCATATATTAATATAGCATTCAATCTTTGTATCAACTATCAAAATTATGTTCGAGTGGAAAGAGTCTGTATTCATTTAAATAAATAGTTTTAGATTTGAGTCTTTGTGTATATAAAAAATTTTCCGAGTAGCTTTTTCGTTTTATGTGTTTGATAGAATAGAAATGAATTAATCTAGACTTTTGAGCACGAGATACTTTAAAGGATAAAATTAAAAAAAAAAAAACCACCAATCCTAAATTAAACTATGTTCTCTCATCACATATAAGAAGAAGAAGGAAATTTGATAACTTAAAAAAGGAAATGTTTGAAAGACAAAATGGTATTTTAAAATAATTGCAAAAATGACAATTATATATATATTAAAAAAGGACTCAAGGTTCATGTTTATGTCAAATTAGTTCTTTTTGCGGAGGTATCCTAAATTTTGGACGAAATACTTTATGAATATGTGTGAATGTAAAAGTCGCAATATTCTATATTGAATTTGTGATCGATTTATAACTTGTTTTCTGAATCAAAAAATGTTTATTTAATCATTTTTGTCTTTCCAAGAAAATAAAAAAATAAAATTTGATCCTACGCTCCTTAATGGTTCTAACAGTGGAAACATATTATATTAAGGTTTCCTCGTTGTAGACAAAAATGGTGATTGTTAATAATTTAACAAACTATATCTATATCGAAGAAATTTCTATGGAAATGGGAACTGCATGCTTGCTTTCATATTTTATGGAAAGAAATCGGTGGAATTGACCATTAAGCTAACGAATGATTAGCAAAAACATTACTCTGTTCATGCTGCCTGCCATCTTTCTCCATTCCTTTTGAGAAATGATTTTTGAATAATTAGCGTTTAATTTATTCTTTAAGCACTAATGGCAAGTGGTAATTGCTAATTGGTAACCTCCTCCTTTCCTAAATTTTGGAAGGAATTATTCAGTATATCCAGAATTGTATTTTTTTTATAAAGATAAAATCTATTGATTATTTTCATAATAAATTCTGCATTTTTGTGCGAAAGAAGAGTATAACTACCGACACCTAATAATTTCTTAAAATTTAGTTACTATTTGAATGACTAGACGAACGCGATGTGTTATAATGTAAATGGACAGAGAATATTGAATTGCTTTGTTAGAAGTGAAGGGGTTTGATTTGATTTGATCTAAAAGTAAAGGGATTGATTTGATCAAATGTGTAAAGTCAAACAACTAGATATGAACTAGTATCCTGGCCAATAATCTTACTAGCTACAACTAGCTATTACCCACAATTTCTCGTTTCTTCAGACGGGGTTGGACTTTAGTGTTCAGCTCTACGTGAAGATGCTTTTGGTTTTATTACAGATTTTTGTGACATTACTTTCCACTTCTAACAAAGAAATGTGGATGACAACTTTCTGAAAAAGTAAAGGCAAAAGCAATCTAGTAATTGTACAAAACTAATGATTTGCTTCAATCTTTACATTTCTTTTGTACATTACATAATTAGTAACTTAAGACCCACCACTTCAAACTCATATTTCCTTTTGGTTTGGAGTGGCCCAGAAAAAAAAAGAAAGAAAAACTAATTTCAAAAAGGTTTTTTTTTTTTTTTTTTATAGTAAAATATTTTTGAATTTTTTTTTATATTAATCGAGACTCCATCTATTATTTTTTTAAGATAGGTAAATGTTACATCACATCTAACTTTTAGTTAATTTTAAGAATTAAATTCCTTAAAAGAGATGAGTTTTTAAAAAACGAGAATCAAATTTTTAATCTAATAAGTTAAAAATACTCCTTTTATCACTCCATAAATAAATAATTTTTTTTTCATAATAAGATATTTTCAAATTATATTTTATTTTAATCAAGAATAATCAATTATTTTTTAGAATAGATCAAGTATCGAATCACATCTAATTTTTAGTTAATTCTAAAAATTAGATTCGTCAAGTGGGATAAGTTTTTAAAAAATGAGAATCCAACTTCTATCTAGTGAGTTAAAAAAACCTTTTTACCACTCCATAAAAAAAGGTTTATAAAGCACACAAATTAAGAATTTACAATAAAATTACTGTACTTATTCACAAAGAAAAAGTTCTTGCTGTAGCTGTGGATGGTACTGATCACCAAACCCCATTTTTTTCCTCTCTGGTAATATCTAGCATCACCAGTTGAAGCTAATGGATTCAAAGTGCAAGTTATCTGCTAAACCAGATGAACAAATTTTGGCAACCTCATGTCGCATTTTCCTTGGTCCACAAGCTAGGACTCCAACATCTGAGGCTTTGCAATCGAACAAAATTCCTGCAATGCCGAAAGGAAATGATTAGTCCTATAAGAAAAATAGAAAAAAGATTGCAATCTATTTAAGTGATCTGAAGATGGAAATTAATGTTTTAGTTGTATTTACTTTTAAGATCAGGCCTTGCACCAAAATGCACCTTGGTAGCTTGAACAAGTGATTGATGAGGAAGGCTTTCGAGCTCTCTATCGGAGTTGTGAAACCATGAACCTGGTGATGCTGTAGGAGTAGAAACTTCTAAGTTCTGAATTTGCTTCCCTTCCATGGCATGCTCTTTCTTGCAGAAAAGAAAGACTGCACTAGAAGTTATAAAAATGCAGGCACAAAGCAAAAACATGTCCCAAAGTACAAAATAGGAAAAATGGTATATCTCCTCAGTGTTGTGATCAATTGGGTAGATATAGTATTGCGTGACGATGCATAGTATGAGAAGGAACATGACAAATGATGAAGCTATTATTGCACCAAGCCATAGCCAATTGTTGTGGCCTAGACCTGCACAAATCGGCGAGTCCATTTGGTTTGGTTTGAACCAAATGGTTTGGAGAAGCTTTAGGTTATCTGCGATAGGCTGCTCTTCCTCTCTTGTGATATAGGCTTCAATTTGCAGCTGCATTTGGGATATGTTTGCAGGTGTGCCATTGATCGGAAGCAAAAGGTCTAGCATGGCAAGATCAGCTGCGTTCTTGAACGCACAAACAAGAAGGACTCGAGGAATTTGACAGTTCGGTTTCGAGCTTTCGGACATGATCTCTCGGATTATGGATATAAAGGGAGCGATGCCACTACCTCCACACACTAAAACCAGCAACTCATGCCTGTGGAAAGGTAAATCAAACTTGATGAGCTTGATATCAGAAATTCACGACAGTTTTCTAAACACAGGACTTCTTTCAAGGTGGTAAAGTTTTCTAAACACAGGACTTCTTCCCTGGTGGTAAACTAACCTTAGAAAATGAGATGAAGCAGGTCCATAGGGTCCTTCAACAGATACTTCAAGACGTTCCAGCGGAGAAGAAATTTCTTGGTAAAGCTTTTGGGACCAACTTCCCAGTCTTTTGACAACTACACTTAGCTTTTCTTGCTCCATATTGCAGCTTGAACTTATAGTATAAGGATGCCATTGTAGTTTCGAAATGCTAGGGACATTTAGAAAAAGTATGCTTGTTGGATTATAATACAGCCCTGAAAGAGGAAAAGGAAATCAAATCATAATGATATAAAATGTTTCCATTGCTGCATCTAGGTCAAAATGTGTTCTTACCTGGACTCTTGGAGAAAGTCAGCTCGATACTACCACAAGGTAAGAGACGAGCTGACTCTAATCTTGCCCGTCGCTGTGACTGTAAGAATCTCAGGTATCGGTCGATGATAAAGAGGAAGATCCCAGGCAATATCATGCAGAAGTAGGCAGCACCAACATGCAATAGATAGAAGACTATGTAGAGAATATATAGTTGGTGGGTGTAGAAGAAAACCTCAAACATTTTAAGCCTAATACGGTAAGAGCTAGTCACCCACATTGCTAATGCAAGAACAATTGCAATCTCTCCAGCAACATTTGATACCCAGGTTTTGCTCCATTCCAGCATCTGCTTGGTCCCAATAAAAATTTCAATGTGAAGAACACATAACAAATGCAGGAAACACCATGGACATCACTAAACCTTCAGGCATAACATCAAGATAAGAGGTGCTGGTTCGATTCCTAGAACCAAGGGAGATTGGAACCCAGCACCTTATGCCAAGAGGTGCTACCATGCATACCACAAACCTATTGGTGACTAAACATAACGCTAAGCCACTACTGCATGTGGCTTTGTTTGATGCATGAGAGTCGAGAGATTCTTGAACTTTATGAGCAATTTAAGAATTTCGTTTTCTTTTTTCTTTTCAAACCCACTAAAGATCTAAAGTCATCATTTAAATGTGCATGAGACTCTCACGTATGCACGTTTGTCCTGAAAAAAGCCTTTTTTCTTTTTGTATATTGCGTATGTAATTTTTAGAGAATCAATTTGTTATTTATATAATAGGATTAGGATTAGTATTCAATATGTTTTTATATTGTAAAATGAGTAAATTGTGTTTTTGTTAAAAAAAAAAAATATGTGAATTGCACACTATTAATTTTTCCTCGAAAATATTTCAGAAAAGCAAAAAAATGACATGCACATATTCAATTCGAGAGACATGTTTGAAAAAAATTAGTTATGTGCATGTCATGTCACTTGTTCCGATTTTTCAATGATTTAATAAGAAAATTCAAAAAAAAAAAATGCAAATTCATTTAAAATATAAAGACATAATTGCTTTCATTCTAGACACTGTCCCGTTATATATATATATATACAGGGCTGTTTCCCCTCACTTTTAACATGACAAAGAAAGAAAAGTTTTGAGCAAAAGGAATCTAAGACCACTTTCATGGTCCCTCCGTTCTGTCCAACAAGAAAGACAACATGATTGATTTGCAAGAAAAGATTGATGATAAAGCTCTAATCACACAAAAAGTTGGAAGGAATTCCACACCTTTGATCAGATGTTCAGCGGACAAAACAATCAGAATCATAGGATAAAAAGTATAAACACACGGAAGCTAAAGGCCACAATATTATTGACCACGAAAGTCTAGTTAGATAAGATTAGCAGTAATTTCAAGTACCAGAGCCATTTGATTAGTCATCGCCCAGTATATGATGAAACCGACGGTATGTGCAGCAAAAAGAATCATGGAAAGATGACCGAGCCAGATATGATACTTGATACTGGATTCAGATGTAAGCCCAACGAGAGGCAGAATCGAAGATCCTCGTGTGACAGGAAAGAAGAGAAATGCCCAGCATATGTTTCCAACATATCCAATTCTCAATGACACACTTCGAAACTTAGCTTTCCACCTGCAAAAGCCGATTAATGGACGAAAAGAAACATGTCAATGTATGAATTTTGAAGAAGTAGAAGATGAAGAATTAGTTCTTTTCATGCAAAATGGATTCTAGCTACAGTGAGAATGAACAAAAAGATGAAAGGGATCTTACACTTTCTCCCCTACTTTACTCATGTAGAGATGCCCAAAATTGACATACAAGTAGTTGGCAAGAGACCAGATCAAGAGTGCAATAAACATGGCTGCAAAAGCAAGCTCCATTGCAGTCACAATTCCAAGAGGAGCCATCACAATTGCTGGACGTCTTAAGAAGGACAAATGATTTCTTGTAACAACACTGCAACATGTATAATGTACAGTAATGTGATAATCTACGAAGCATTACATTTTTCTCTTTAATATCAAAACACTAGAAAGAACTGATGAAAGACAACCTTTTGGATTTTGGCTTTTCCAGCTTCTTCTGTAAATGGAGATAAACAGACCCTAAGGCAGCTATGAAAACGACAGGGAAAGAAAAGAGCAGAAGATTTGTGCCTGTACCAATGGTAGGAAAAAAAAAATTCAATTGGGCGAATGATTTAAGCTACTTATCTGGACAGGAAAGCATAATCGAAAACAACCTTGTGCTGCAAAATATGTTGAATTAAGTTTGCTGTCTAGCTTGGCACTGGGAGTCCTCCTATTTTTGTATAACTTTGTCGGCAACATAATCCAACTCATGAGCCATCCAAGAAACACCACAAGGAAGACTAGCCTGAAGACTCTCATGTTGCTCATCTTCTTGCCTTTTCAGTTCCTATGGAATAGAGGATCTTGTTGAATCCATTGGCCGTATAGGGGGTTTTCTTGTGGAAGTCCGGTTTCAAGAGAGAGGATATGAGAGGGAGGGCATTTGGAACTGCCATCTACGAACCCAAATAGTCCTTGACCTAATAACAAGGGACGCATTTGTGTGCGCCAAAACAGAAAATCAGTAGTGGTTAACTTGACTGAGATGAAGTGATGGGCATTTGAAAGGTGGGTGACGTGAGGAGATATGGTTTGGGACGGTGGGGTATTTGAAGGGATCTGATTTGTTGAAGCGGAAGTGGGACTAGTTGAGGCCATTGGTGCAGTTTTGCTTAAAGCTCTGATACCAAATCATAACAAAGGATTCTATTTCTCTTTTCAAGGACTGTTGTTCTGCCATGTGGCAGCGTATATTTATACATGTATGTAACAGTGTGATTGGACTACAACTCTATACATTATATGAAAGTGGAAGTATGGCTGAACTACAACTCTATAATTAGTGACATGTTTATCTCCAGTAGCTAATTAGTGGCGTGTTTGACTTCAGCAGCAGTGCCGCGTATGAGCTCCAGTGGAAGTGCTTTAGTGTCGTGTGCTCCTGTAGCGTGTTGGTCTGATACTATGGATCGGAATAGAGGTCTTCACACTAAGTTGGAATTTATAGACCTCGAAAAGAATCCATATACAACGTAAGACCTTTCTTGTAGGCTACCATCATTAGTAGAAGTGCAAAGAAACAGCATGATTCGTGCACATTTATGACCTCATTAATTTGCAGTTACATGCCGCTGATGTGATTTGGGTCAGTCTGGAAAGTCAAAACCACTCAAATATGAGAAAATCCCTCTTATAAGCCGGAAAAGACACAAAAAAAAAACTGCAGAATATGTTGCAAATAAATATATAAATCTTTTCATATGCACTGAACAGAATGATTTATCCAAAATGACGTTTTATGTGCATATTTTCGAATATTGAGATGCATAATTATGTGCTAAACCAATCTTATGTCCCTTTCATTTGGTTACAGATTGTTAAGATATTAAGTTCATCTCAACATGGGGACGCATCAGTGGCATGTTAGAGAAACAGAAAACCTTAGCAGCCAGGGATAGAAAAAAAGCAACCAAAAAAAAAGAGCAAAAAGAGAGAAAGGAGAGAGGGGAAGAATGTTAGCATGCTGCCCATACACAATTTCTTTCTATTAATTTGACTTGAAAATCTTAATAAAAAGATATGTTAGGAACTTAACATATATTCAAAAATATAAATGATTCGATTAAAAATAGAAGAACAAATTAAAAAAATAACTTATTATATAAGTCCATATTGAACTATTTTACCGTAAATTTTAAAGCTACAACTTGTCATGCCCAAGAAAAAAGAAAAAACAACTTATATATGGGAGCAAAAGTTTTAAGAAACCCTACTAATCAACAAAGTAAAAAATAAAAATTAATAACCAACTTGGTGTATTCAACAATAAAATAAAATTCAAAATTGCACAAACGAAAATAAGAATCACTATAAGATCTAATTAAATTGTGTTTTTTTTTTTAATATTCTATTTTAATAAATTCATTGAACAAGTTTACTAGTTCTTTTTCAAGCTTTTATGCATTGTAAAGCCCAATCACAAGAAAATAATTACAAGAGAAAATTCAAGAAATTATAATTTTTCACAAAAATTGAAATTTGAAAATAGTAAAACATAAGAAAGAAGAGAGGAGAGGACGTACTCTTTAAAGTTTCTTCTAGTTGAGAATTTGGTTTTTGATCAAACCACAATGAACAAATTAATTTTATTATGGGATCCTTATAATGAATAATAACCTAGAAAAATTAACTAGGAAATTCCTTTTAGGGGTGAGTTTGATTTGATTAGGAAAATTCTTATTCAGGAAATAAATAAATGTATAAAATGTTTGATAGAGAAGAAGTATCATGGAAGAAATAATGAATGTTAAATTATGATATACAATTATTTAATATGCATTTATTAATATAGCATTCTATCTTTATATCAACTATCAACCCTAAAACTATGTTCGAGTGGAAAGATCTCTAGTAGTTTAAACAAGTGGTTTCGGATTCGTGTTCTTGTGAATACAAAAAACTTTTTAGATAGCTATTTTTGTTTTGTGCATCTAATAGAACAATGAAATATTAGTCTAAACCTTTGATCTTGAGATATTCTAGAGGATTTAAAAAAAAAGAAAGAAATATGATAACTTAAAAAAAGGAAATGTTTGAAAGACAAAATGGTATTTTGAAATAATTGCAAAAATGGCAAAATTTTACACACATATATATTGAAAAAGGACTCAAGGTTAATGTTTATGTCAAATTAATTCTTTTTACGGAGGTACCCTAAATTTTGGATGCAATACTTTTCTGAATATGTGTGAATGTAAAAGTCGTAATATTCTATATTGAATTTGTGATCGATTTATAACTTGTTTTCCGAATAAAAAAATGTTTATTTAATCGTTTTTATCATTCTAAAAAAAAAAAATTGATCTTACATACCTCAATGGTTCTATTAGTGGAAACATATTATGTTAAGGTGTCCTTATTAGAGACAAAAATGGTGATTGTTAATAATTTAGCAAACTAGATATTTCTATATCGAAGAAATTTTTATGGAAATGGCAACCGCAAGCTTTCATATTTTATGGAAAGAGATTGGTGGAATTTGACCATTAAGCTAATGAATGATTTGCAAAAACATAACTCTGTTCACACTCGCTCGTCACCTTTCTCATTTCTTAATTTATGAGAAATGATTTTTGGATCATTAGAGATTAATCTAGTCTTCAAGTAATACCGACAAGTGGTAATTGCTAATTGATAACCTTCTTCTTGCCCAAACTTTGGAAGAAATTATTCTATATGTAGCGCCCCATGCCCGGATCCATTCATGATGGCATCCCAAGCGAGAGAGATGCTACGATCAAACAAAACGGGCATATAATACAGCTCAAACAAAACCAAATATAACTCATTTTCATATCCTAAAAAAAGAACTTAATCCAACAAACATACATGACTTGCAGTGTAAAAAGGCACCTGGCCATGTTGCTTTAAAACATAAACTCGTACAAATGTTTGAACTTCGAGTTATAAACATTGAACAACACTTTGGGAAATGTTAAACTTCGAGTGATATTAAAGAAGTTAGGGTTGATATCCAATTTTGAAAAAAAGTTGATTAAGTGGTTTTAATTGATTAATCGAAGATTGTTTTGCTTTGAGCTTGTGTTTTATTAAGATAGATTGAGATTTAAATGGTTAGATTTCATTAATCGAGAAATTATGTGATGTTATGCTCGGAATTGGAGTTTTTGTGAATATTTATTATTGTGAGGTTGGTTGAGTTGAATTTAAGTTTGTATAGTATGAGAATTTTGATGAATTATTGATTTAATTATAGGAATTGATTAGCTTGAGGTGATCTATACCGACCATAAGAGTCTCAAGTACTCTTTACTCGAAGGAGTTCAATATGAGGCGAGAGAAGGTGGCTTGAGGTATTGAAAGATTATGATATTGTTCTTCATTACTATCCAGGTAAAGCTAATGTTGTAGCCGATGCTTTAAGTCGAAAGTCTTGGTTGGTTTTACTCAAAAGACAAACCCATTAGAAACTAACATAAAAAACACCATATAACATCCAAAAATAACTAGAAATTATGGCAAGAACACACCTTTCTCTTTTGGGTTCGAAATTAACCTCCGAACAACAACTTTTCAAGCTCTAATTTTGCTTAAAACCCATTTTGATCATCATAACTATCTTAATATAAGGTTGTTTAGTGATGAGAAATGTTAGAAAACAAGTGTGGAGAAAAGGGTGTTTGATTGGGTTATGGAGAAGAAGAAAAGGGGAAGAGAAAAAGTGGGAAGAGAGAGAAGAATAATGGAACCCGTATGGTTCTAGCAAAGGCATAAAAAAAGGATGTCAAAATTACTACATGGTCCTTATAATTATATCCAACTTTTAAAGTAGTCTCTCAACTTCCAATAAAACTCGTTCATATCCTTAAATTTATTCAATTAACTCCAAAACACCTTATTGCCTCTCAATCTCCAAGACACATATAATCCAAACACCACAACTAAAGGATAAACAATTTATAAGATGTCATATATATATAGTCAAAACATACTAATACAAGCATACACATGCATAATATGAAAAATTTATATTGGATGTTACACTCGTATATCTAGAATTGTATTTTTTTTTCCGTATAAAGAGAAAATTTTGTATTTTTGTATGAAAAAGGAGTACAAATATGTATTAATACACCTAATAATTTCTCAAATTTTAGTTTCTTTTAAAGGGGTACTTGCCACTCCTTTATTTGTCATTGTTACTATTTGAATGATTAGATGAATGCTATGTGTTATAATGTAAATTGACGGAGAATATTGAGTTGCTTTCACTATACAAAAAAGCTCGTCAAATAGTGATGAGATTTTTTGTAGTTATACCAATATTTTCCGTTGCTATTGATTTTTAGTGACGAGATAGTTCTAGCCATTTAGGGATTTGGATTAATGACGGATGCGATTCCATCGTTAATCTATCTTTAATTAGCATTGGATTTTGAATTTCAAAAATTCATTCTTTTTTCAATATTAACGACGGAATTTTTGTTGCTAATTTGTGAGAAAAATATATGCATTCGGTCACTAATTGTAACCCCAAAAATAGCGACGTAATTTGTTATTCTATCGTTGATTGCTCTCGTAATTCCGTTACTAAATCATCCCTATATACCCCTAAATATTCATTGACAGATTAAGTCCGTTGTTGCAAATTCATCATTAATCCATTTTGGTATCCCGTCTCTAAAATCCATCTCTTCATAATAGTCGTAATTAGTTTGTTAATCCATCATTATTTAGTGAAAAACTTAAAATTGTTGTTAATTTCTGTCGTTATTTGTAAATTTTTTTGTGGTGTTTGTTAGAAGTGAATGGGGTTGATTTGATTTCATCTAAAAATAAAGGGATTGATTTGATCAAATGTGTAAAGTAAAACAACTAGATATGAACTAGTATCATGTCCAATAACCTTACTAGCTAAAACTAGCTATCACCCACAATTTCTCATATCTTCGAATGGGTTGGACTTTTGTGTTCGTCTCTGCATAAAGATACTTTTGGTTTTATTACAGATTTTTGTTAACATTATAACTTTCCAGTTCTAACAAAGAAATGTGGATAACGACTTTTTGAAGAAGTAAAGGCAAAAAGCAGTCTAGTAATTGTACAAACTAATGATTTGCTTCAATCTTTACATTTCTTTTGTACTTTATATAATTAGTAACTTAAGACCCGCCACTTCAAACTCACATTTCCTTTTGGGGTGGAGTGGCCCAGAAAACAGAAAGAAAAACTAATTTCAAAAAGTTTTTTTCTCTTTTCTATAATAAAAATATTTTTGAGTTAGTTTTTATATTAATCGAGATTATATTTATTATTTTATGAGATAGATAAGTGTTAGATTAGTTAATTTTAAGAATTAAGATGAGTTTTTTAAAAAATGAGAATCAAAATTTTAATCTAATGATTTAAAAATACTCCTTTTATTAGTCCATAAATAAAGATTTTTTTTTCTCATAATAAGATATTTTTAAATTAAATTTTATATTAATCGAGAATATAGTCAATTATTTTTTAAAATAGATCAGTACCAAATCAAATCTAATTTTTAGTTAATTCTAAAAATTAGATTCTTCAAGAGGGATAAGTTTTAAAAAAATGAGAATCGAAATTCTATCCAGTGAGTTAAAAAAACCTTTTTACCACTCCATAAAAAAAGGTTTGTAAAGCACACAAAGTAAGAATTTACAACAAAGTTATTGTACTTATTCACAAAGAAAGATTTCTTGCTGTAGCTGTGGATGGTACAGACCAAACCTCTTTTTTATTCTCTCGAGTAATATCTAGCATCACCAGTTGAAGCTAATGGATTCAAAGTGCAAGTTATCTGCTAAACCAGATGAACAAATTTTGGCAACTTCATGTCGCATTTTCCTTGGTCCACAAGCTAGGACTCCAACATCTGAGGCTTTGCAATCGGACAAAATTCCTGCAATGCCGACAGGAAATGATTAGTCCTATAAGAAAAATAGAAAAAAGATTGCAATCTATTTAAGTGATCTGAAGATGGAAATTAATGTTTAAGTTGTATTTACTTTTAAGATCAGGCCTTGCACCAAAATGCACCTTGGTAGCTTGAACAAGTGATTGATGAGGAAGGCTTTCGAGCTCTCTCTCCGTGTTGCGAAACCACGAACCTGGTGATGCTGTAGGAGTTGGAACTTCTAAGTTCTGAATTTGCTTCCCTTCCATGGCATGCTCTTTCTTGCAGAAAAGAAAGACTGCACTAGAAGTTATAAAAATGCAGGCACAAAGCAAAAACATGTCCCAGAGTACAAAATAGGAAAAATGGTATATCTCCTCAGTGTTGTGATCAATGGGGTAGATATAGTATTGCGTGACGATGCATAGTATGAGAAGGAACATGACAAATGATGAAGCTATTATTGCACCAAGCCATAGCCAATTGTTGTTGCCTAGACCTGCACAAATCGGCGAGTCCATTTGGTTTGGTTTGAACCAAATGGTTTGGAGAAGCTTTAGGTTATCTGCGATAGGCTGCTCTTCCTCTCTTGTGATATAGGCTTCAATTTGCAGCTGCATTGGGATATGTTTGCAGGTGTGCCATTGATTGGAAGCAAGAGGTCTAGCATGGCAAGATCAGCTGCGTTCTTGAATGCACAAACAAGAAGGACTCGAGGAACTTGACAGTTCGGTTTGGAGCTTTCGGGCATGATCTCGCGGATTATGGATATAAAGGGAGTGATGCCACTACCTCCACTCACTAAAACCAGCAACTCATGCCTGTGGAAAGGTAAATCAAACTTGATGAGCTTGATATCAGAAATTCACGACAGTTTTCTAAACACAGGACTTCTTTCCAGGTGGTACAGTTTTCTAAACACAGGACTTCTTTCCTGGTGGTAAACTAACCTTAGAAAATGAGATGAAGCAGGTCCATAGGGTCCTTCAACAGATACTTCAAGACGTTCCAGCGGAGAAGAAATTTCTTGGTAAAGCTTTTGGGACCAACTTCCCAGTCTTTTGACAACTACACTTAGCTTATCTTGCTCCATATTGCAGCTTGAACTTATAGTATAAGGATGCCATTGTAGTTTTGAAATGCTAGGGACATTTAGAAAAAGTATGCTTGTTGGATTATAATACAGCCCTGAGAGAGGAAAAGGAAATCAAATCATAATGATATAAAATGTTTCCATTGCTGCATCTAGGTCAAAATGTGTTCTTACCTGGACTCTTGGAGAAAGTCAGCTCGATACTACCACAAGGTAAGAGACGAGCTGACTCTAATCTTGCCCGTCGCTGTGACTGTAAGAATCTCAGGTATCGGTCGATGATGAAGAGGAAGATCCCAGGCAATATCATGCAGAAGTAGGCAGCACCAACATGCAATAGATAGAAGACTATGTAGAGAATATATAGTTGGTGGGTGTAGAAGAAAACCTCGAACACTTTAAGCCTCATACGGTAAGAGCTTGTCACCCACATTGCTAATGCAAGAACAATTGCAATTTCTCCAGCAACATTTGATACCCAGGTTTGGCTCCATTCCAGCATCTGCTTGGTCCCAATAAAAATTTCAATGTGAAGAACACATAACAAATGCAGGAAACACCATTGACATCACTAAACCTTCAGGCATAACATCAAGATAAGAGGTGCTGGTTTGATTCCTAGAACCAAGGGAGATTGGAACCCAGCACGTTATGCCAAGAGGTGCTACCATGCATACCACAAACCTATTGGTGACTAAACATAACGCTAAGCCACTACTGCATGTGGCTTTGTTTGATGCATGAGAGTCGAGAGATTCTTGAACTTTATGAGCAATTTAAGAATTTCGTTTTCTTTTTTCTTTTCAAACCCACTAAAGATCTAAAGTCATCATTTAAATGTGCATGAGACTCTCACGTATGCACGTTTGTCCTGAAAAAAGCCTTTTTTCTTTTTGTATATTGCGTATGTAATTTTTAGAGAATCAATTTGTTATTTATATAATAGGATTAGGATTAGTATTCAATATGTTTTTATATTTTTAGAGAATCAATGCTTTCATTTTAGACACTGTCCCGTTATATATATATATATACAGGGCTGTTTCCCCTCACTTTTAACATGACAAAGAAAGAAAAGTTTTGAGCAAAAGGAATCTAAGACCACTTTCATGGTCCCTCCCTTCTGCCCAACAAGAAAGACAACATGATTGATTTGCAAGAAAAGATTGATGATAAAGCTCTAATCACACAAAAAGTTGGAAGGAATTCCACACCTTTGATCAGATATTCTGAGGACAAAACAATCAGAATCATAGGATAAAAAGTATAAACACACAATAGCTAAAGGCCACAATATTATTGACCACGAAAGTCTAGTTAGATAAGATTAGCAGTAATTTCAAGTACCAGAGCCATTTGATTAGTCATCGCCCAGTATATGATGAAACCGACGGTATGTGCAGCAAAAAGAATCATGGAAAGATGACCGAGCCAGATATGATACTTGATACTGGATTCAGATGTAAGCCCAACGAGAGGCAGAATCGAAGATCCTCGTGTGACAGGAAAGAAGAGAAATGCCCAGCATATGTTTCCAACATATCCAAGTCTCAATGACACACTTCGAAACTTAGCTTTCCACCTGCAAAAGCCGATTAATGGACGAAAAGAAACATGTTAGTTTATGAATTTTGAAGAAGTAGAAGATGAAGAATTAGTTCTTTTCATGCAAAATGGATTCTAGCTACAGTGAGAATGAACAAAAAGATGAAAGGGATCTTACACTTTCTCCCCTACTTTATGCATGTAGAGATGACCAAAATTGACATACAAGTAGTTGGCAAGAGACCAGATCAAGAGTGCAATAAACATGGCTGCAAAAGCAAGCTCCATTGCAGTCACAATTCCAAAGGAGCCATCACAATTGCTGGACGTCTTAAGAAGGACAAACGATTTCTTGTAACAACACTGCAACAAGTATAATGTACAGTAATGTGATAATCTCCGAAGCATTACATTTTTCTCTTTAATATCAAAACACTAGAAAGAACTGATGAAAGACAACCTTTTGGAGTTTGGCTTTTCCAGCTTCTTCTGTAAATGGAGATAAACAGACCCTAAGGCAGCTATGAAAACGACAGGGAAAGAAAAGAGCAGAAGATTTGTGCCTGTACCAATGGTAGGAAAAAAAAAATTCAATTGGGCGAATGATTTAAGCTAGTTATCTGGACAGGAAAGCATAATTGTTGGTTTGGGATCTTTTTCTCCCTTATTTTGACGCGATTATTCTTGTGCCAATGCCTTCTCAATTAAAACCCAAAAAATCCCTAGACTTTAGCTCTGCCTCTCCATGCAATTCTTCTTTATATTTTTATTCCCTCTCTCTTCCTGCCTCCAAAACCCACAGTTTCCTCGTTTTTTCTCTTCTTACAAACCCAGATTACCGTTGTAAATATTTTAAAAGGTTGTCAAAAACCTTTCATCCTGAATTGTGTGTTATGAGAAAATTATTGAGTAAAGTGGGGTACAAATTTTTACTGTTTATATGAACCTAATATTATTTGTACATTGTGTATTAACTATTAACTATTATATTGTAATTAAAAAAATATATAAGAAAATCTCAGAACCCGCTTCAAATTCGATAAAAATTCTTTCCTCCCCAAAACCTGATTAATATAAGGTATAAATGGGGGAGCAAAAACTCATTCCATTACCATACTTAACGCTAATTCACTACAAAAAACAGTAATTTAGCGATGGCAATCAAACAACCTTGTGCTGCAAAATATGTTGAATTAAGTTTGCTGTCTAGCTTGGCACTGGGAGTCCTCCTATTTTTGTATAACTTTGTCGGCAACATAATCCAACTCATGAGCCATCCAAGAAACACCACAAGGAAGACTAGCCTGAAGACTCTCATGTTGCTCATCTTCTTGCTTTTTCAGTTCCTATGGAATAGAGGTCTTCACACTAAGTTGGAATTTATCGACCTCGAAAAGAATCTATATACAACGTAAGACCTTTCTTGTAGGCTACCATCATTAGTAGAAATGCAAAGAAACAGCATGATTCATGCACATTTATGACCCCATTAATTTGCAAGTTACATGCTGGTGAGAATGTGATTTGGCTCAGTCTGGAAAGTCAATACCACTTAAATATGAGAAAATGCCTCTTATAAGCCGGAAAAGACATAAAAAAAAAAAAAACTGCAGAATATGTTGTAAACAAATATATAAATCTTTTCATATGCACTGAACAGAATGATTTATCCAAAATGACGTTTTATGTGCATATTTTCGAATATTGAGATGCATAATTATGTGCTAAACCAATCTTATGTCCCTTTCATTTGGTTACAGATTGTTAAGATATTAAGTTCATCTCAACATGAGGACGCATCAGTGGCATGTTAGAGAAATAGAAGACCTTAGCAGCCAAAGATAGGAAAAAAGGCAACCAAAAAAAAGAAAAAAAGAAAAAAGAAAGATAGAGAGCAAAAAGAGAGAAAGAAGAGAGGGGAAGAATGTTGGCGATGCTGCCATGCACAATTTCTTCTAATGATTTGATTTGAAAATCTTAATAAAAATATATATTAGAAACTTAATATATATTCAAAGGTATAAATGATTCAATTAAAAATATGAGAATAAATTAAAAAAAAATTATCTTATTGTATAAGTACATATTGAACTATTTTACCTTTAATTTTAAAGTTACAACTTTTCATGCCCAAGAAAAATGAAAAGATAACATATACATGGGAGCAAAAGTTTAAGAAGCCCTACTAATCAACAAAGTAAAAAATAAAAATTTAACAACCAACATGGTATACACAACAACAAAATAAAATTCAAAATTGCACAAACGAAAATAAGAATCACTATAAGAGCTAATTAAATTGTGTGTGTGTGTTTTTTATATTCTATTTTAATAAATTCATTGAACAAGTTTACAAGTTCTTTTTCAAGATTTTACGCAATGTAAAGCCTAATCACAAGAAAATAATTACAAGACAAAATTCAAGGAATTATAATTTTTCACAAAAATTAAAATTTGAAAATAGTAAAACATAAGAGAGAAGAGACGAGAGGACGTACTCTTTAAAGTTTCTTCTGGTAGAGAATTTAGTTTTCGATCAAGCCACAATGAACAAATTAAGTTTATAATGGGATCCTTATAATGAATAATAACCTAGAAAAATTAATTAGGAAATTCCTTTGAGGGGTAAGTTTGATTTGATTAGGAAAATTATTATTCAGGAAAAAAATAAATGTATAAAATATTTGATATAGAAGAAGTATTATGAAAAAAAATAATGAATATTAAATTATGATAGACAATTATTTAATATGCATTTATTAATATAGCATTCTATCTTTATATCAACTATCAACCCTAAAACTATGTTTGAGTAGATTTTAATTGTTTAAACAAGTAATTTCGCGTTCGTGTTCTTATGTATATAAAAACTCTCTTGATTGCTATCTTTGTCTTGTGTATCTAACAAAACAATGAAAGATTTGTCTAAATCTTTGATCTTGAGATATTTTGGAGGATTAAAAAAAAAAAAAAAACTATCAACCCTAAAACTATGTTCTCTAATTACCAAACCAAAAAAGAAAAAAATCGATAACTTGAAAAGGGACATTTTTGAAAGACAAAATGGTATTTTGAAATAATTACAAAAATGGAATATATATATATATATATATATAAATCTAAAAGTCACAATATTCTATATTGAATTTGTGATGGATTTATAACTTGTTTTCTCGAATAAAAGAAATGTTTATTTAATCGTTTTTATCTTTCTAAAAAAAATTTTGATCTTACATACCTTAATGGTTCTATTAGTGGAAACATATTATTAGAGACAAAAATGGTGATTGTTAATAATTTAGCAAAGTATATATTTCTATATCGAAGAAATTTCTATGGAAATGGGAACTGCATGCTTTCATATTTTATGGAAAGAGATCGGTGGAATTGACCATTGAGCTAATGAATGATTTGCAAAAACATAACTCTGTTGACACTGTCTGTCACCTTTCTCATTTCTCAATTTGTGAGAAATGATTTTTGGATCATTAGAGGTTAATCTAGTCTTCAAGTACTACGGACAAGTGGTAATTGCTAATTGATAACCTTCTTCTTTCCCAAACTTTGGGAGAAATTATTCTATATAGCTAGAATTGTATTCTTTTTTTTTTTTTTTCGTATAAAGAGAAAATCTATTGATTATTTGCATAATAAATTCTGTATTTTCGTGAGAAAAAGGAGTACAACTACATACTAATACACATAATAATTTCTCAAATTTTAGTTTCTTTTAAAGGGATGCTTGCCACTCCTTTATTTGTCGTTGTTATGATTAGATGAATGCTATGTGTTATAACATAAATGGACGGAGAATATTGAGTTGCTTTCACTATATAAAAACAACTCGTCAACGACGATAGATTTTTTGTAGTTATACCAATATTTTTTGTCGTTATTAATTTTTAGTGATGAATGGTACTAGCCATTTAGGGATTTGGGTTAGTGATGGATGCGATTCTGTCTTTAATCCATCTCTAATCGGCGTTGGATTTTGAATTTCAAAAGTTCATTCTTTTTTCAATATTAACGATGGAATTTTGGTCGCTAATTTGTGAGAAAAATATATGCATTCCGTCGCTAATTCTAAATCCAAAAATAGCGATGCAATTTGTTATTCCATCATTGATTGCTCTCGTAATTCCTTTACTAAATCATCCCTAAATACCCGCAAATATTCATGGACGGATTAAGTCCGTTGTTGCAAATTCGTCATTAATCCATTTTGATATCCCGTCTCCGAAATCCATATCTTGATAACGGGCGTAATTAGTTTGTTAATCTATCATTATTTAGTGACAAACTTAAATTTGTCGTTAATTTATGTCGTTATTTGTAAATTTTTTTGTGGTGTTTGTTAGAAGTGAATGGGGTTGATTTGATTTCATCTAAAAATAAAGGGATTGATTTGACCAGACGTGTAAAGTAAAACAACTAGATATGAACTAGTATCATGTCCAATAACCTTACTAACTAAAACTAGCTATCACCCACAATTTCTCATATCTTCAAATGGGTTGGACTTTTGTGTTTGTCTCTGCATAAAGATGCTTTTGGTTTTATTACAGATTTTCGTTAACATTATAACTTTCCAGTTCTAACAAAGAAATGTGGATAACAACTTTCTGAAAAAGTGAAGGCAAAAAGGAGTCTAGCTAGTTATTGTACAAACTAATGATTTGCTTCAATCTTTACATTTCTTTTGTACATTATATAATTAGTAACTTAAGACAAACCACTTCAAACTCACATTTCCTTTTGGGGTGGAGTGGCCCAGAAAAAGAAAGAAAAACTAATTTCAAAAAGTTTTTTTTTCTTTTCTATAATAAAAATATTTTTGAGTTAATTTTTATATTAATCGAGATTACGTTTATTAATTTTTGAGACAGATAAGTGTTAGATCACATCTAACTTTTAGTTAATTTTAAGAATTAAATTCCCTAAAAAGAGATGAATTTTAAAAAAATGAGAATATAATTTTTAATCTAATGAGTTAAAAATACTCCTTTTATCACTTCATAAATAAAGATTTTTTTTTCATAATAAGATATTTTCAAATTTTATTTTGTATTAATCGAGAATAGTCAATTATTTTTTAGAATAGATAAGTATCAAATCACATCTAATTTTTAGTTAATTCTACAACTTGGATTGGTCAAGTGGGATAAGTTTTTAAAAAATGAGAACCGAACTTCTATATAGTGAGTTTAAAAAACCTTTTTACCACTCCATAAAAAAAGGTTTATAAAGCACACAAAGTAAGAATTTACAATAAAATTATTGTACTTATTCACAAAGAAAAAGTTCTTGCTGTAGCTGTGGATGGTACTGATCACCAAACCCCATTTTTTCCCTCTCTAGTAATATCTAACATCACCAGTTGAAGCTAATGGATTCAAAGTGCAAGTTATCTGCTAAACCAGATGAACAAATTTTGGCAACCTCATGTCGCATTTTCCTTGGTCCACAAGCTAGTACTCCAACATCTGAGGCTTTGCAATCGAAAAAAATTCCTGCAATGCCAACAGGAAATGATTAGTTCTATAAGAAAAATGGAAAAAAGATTGCAATCTATATATTGAAGTGATTTGAAGATGGAAATTAATGTTTTAGTTATATTTACTTACTCTTAAGATCAGGCCTTGCACCAAAATGCACCTTGGTAGCTTGAACAAGTGATTGATGAGGAAGGCTTTCGAGCTCTCTATCCGAGTTGTGAAACCATGAACCTGGTGATGCTGTAGGAGTAGAAACTTCTAAGTTCTGAATTTGCTTCCCTTCCATGGCATGCTCTTTCTTGCAGAAAAGAAAGACTGCACTAGAAGTTATAAAAATGCAGGCACAAAGCAAAAACATGTCCCATAGTACAAAATAGGAAAAATGGTATATCTCCTCAGTGTTGTGATCAATTGGGTAGATATAGTATTGCGTGACGATGCCTAGTATGAGAAGGAACATGACAAATGACGAAGCTATTATTGCACCAAGCCATAGCCAATTGTTGTGGCCTAGACCTGCACAAATCGGCGAGTCCATTTGGTTTGGTTTGAACCAAATGGTTTGGAGAAGCTTTAGGTTATCTGCGATATGCTGCTCTTCCTCTCTTGTGATATAGGCTTCAATTTGCAGCTGCATTTGGGATGTGTTGGCAGGTGTGCCATTGATCGGAAGCAAAAGGTCTAGCATGGCAAGATCAGCTGCGTTCTTGAACGCACAAACAAGAAGGACTCAGGAATTTGACAGTTCGGTTTCGAGCTTTCGGACATGATCTCTCGGATTATGGATATAAAGGGAGCGATGCCACTACCTCCACTCACTAAAACCAGCAACTCATGCCTGTGGAAAGGTAAATCAAACTTGATGAGCTTGATATCAGAAATTCACGACAGTTTTCTAAACACAGGACTTCTTTCCTGGTGGTAAACTAACCTTAGAAAATGAGATGAAGCAGGTCCATAGGGTCCTTCAACAGATACTTCAAGACGTTCCAGCGGAGAAGAAATTTCTTGGTAAAGCTTTTGGGACCAACTTCCCAGTCTTTTGACAACTACACTTAGCTTATCTTGCTCCATATTGCAGCTTGAACTTATAGTATAAGGATGCCATTGTAGTTTCGAAATGCTAGGGACATTTAGAAAAAGTATGCTTGTTGGATTATGATACAGCCCTGAAAGAGGAAAAGGAAATCAAATCATAATGATATAAAATGTTTCCATTGCTGCATCTAGGTCAAAATGTGTTCTTACCTGGACTCTTGGAGAAAGTCAGCTCGATAATACCACAAGGTAAGAGACGAGCTGACTCTAATCTTGCCCGTCGCTGTGACTGTAAGAATCTCAGGTATCGGTCGATGATAAAGAGGAAGATCCCAGGCAATATCATGCAGAAGTAGGCAGCACCAACATGCAATAGATAGAAGACTATGTAGAGAATATATAGTTGGTGGGTGTAGAAGAAAACCTCAAACATTTTAAGCCTAATACGGTAAGAGCTAGTCACCCACATTGCTAATGCAAGAACAATTGCAATCTCTCCAGCAACATTTGATACCCAGGTTTTGCTCCATTCCAGCATCTGCTTGGTCCCAATAAAAATTTCAATGTGAAGAACACATAACAAATGCAGGAAACACCATGGACATCACAAGACCTTCAGGCATAACATCAAGATAAGAGGTGCTGGTTCGATTCCTAGAACCAAGGGAGATTGGAACCCAGCACCTTATGCCAAGAGGTGCTACCATGCATACCACAAACCTATTGGTGACTAAACATAACGCTAAGCCACTACTGCATGTGGCTTTGTTTGATGCATGAGAGTCGAGAGATTCTTGAACTTTATGAGCAATTTAAGAATTTCTTTTTCTTTTTTCTTTTCAAACCCACTAAAGATCTAAAGTCATCATTTAAATGTGCATGAGACTCTCACGTATGCACGTTTGTCCTGAAAAAAGCCTTTTTTTCTTTTTGTATATTGCGCATGTAATTTTTAGAGAATCAATTTGTTATTTATATAATAGGATTAGGATTAGTATTCAATATGTTTTTATATTGTAAAATGAGTAAATTGTGTTTTTGTTAAAAAAAATATATATATATGTGAATTGCACACTATTAATTTTTCCTCGAAAATATTTCAGAAAAACAAAAAAATGACATGCACATATTCATTCGAGAGACATGTTTGAAAAAAATTAGTTATGTGCATGTCATGTCACTTGTTCCGATTTTTCAATGATTTAATAAGAAAATTAAAAAAAAAAATGCAAATTCATTTAAAATATAAAGACATAATTGCTTTCATTCTAGACACTGTCCCGTTATATATATATATATACAGGGCTGTTTCCCCTCACTTTTAACATGACAAAGAAAGAAAAGTTTTGAGCAAAAGGAATCTAAGACCACTTTCATGGTCCCTCCCTTCTGTCCAACAAGAAAGACAACATGATTGATTTGCAAGAAAAGATTGATGATAAAGCTCTAATCACCCAAAAAGTTGGAAGGAATTCCACACCTTTGATCAGATATTCTGCGGACAAAACAATCAGAATCATAGGATAAAAAGTATAAACACACAATAGCTAAAGGCCACAATATTATTGACCACGAAAGTCTAGTTAGATAAATTAGCAGTAATTTCAAGTACCAGAGCCATTTGATTAGTCATCGCCCAGTATATGATGAAACCGACGGTATGTGCAGCAAAAAGAATCATGGAAAGATGACCGAGCCAGATATGATACTTGATACTGGATTCAGATGTAAGCCCAACGAGAGGCAGAATCGAAGATCCTCGTGTGACAGGAAAGAAGAGAAATGCCCAGCATATGTTTCCAACATATCCAAGTCTCAATGACACACTTCGAAACTTAGCTTTCCACCTGCAAAAGCCGATTAATGGACGAAAAGAAACATGTCAATGTATGAATTTTGAAGAAGTAGAAGATGAAGAATTAGTTCTTTTCATGCAAAATGGATTCTAGCTACAGTGAGAATGAACAAAAAGATGAAAGGGATCTTACACTTTCTCCCCTACTTTATGCATGTAGAGATGCCCAAAATTGACATACAAGTAGTTGGCAAGAGACCAGATCAAGAGTGCAATAAACATGGCTGCAAAAGCAAGCTCCATTGCAGTCACAATTCCAAAGGAGCCATCACAATTGCTGGACGTCTTAAGAAGGACAAACGATTTCTTGTAACAACACTGCAACAAGTATAATGTACAGTAATGTGATAATCTCCGAAGCATTACATTTTTCTCTTTAATATCAAAACACTAGAAAGAACTGATGAAAGACAACCTTTTGGAGTTTGGCTTTTCCAGCTTCTTCTGTAAATGGAGATAAACAGACCCTAAGGCAGCTATGAAAACGACAGGGAAAGAAAAGAGCAGAAGATTTGTGCCTGTACCAATGGTAGGAAAAAAAAAATTCAATTGGGCGAATGATTTAAGCTAGTTATCTGGACAGGAAAGCATAATCGAAAACAACCTTGTGCTGCAAAATATGTTGAATTAAGTTTGCTGTCTAGCTTGGCACTGGGAGTCCTCCTATTTTTGTATAACTTTGTCGGCAACATAATCCAACTCATGAGCCATCCAAGAAACACCACAAGGAAGACTAGCCTGAAGACTCTCATGTTGCTCATCTTCTTGCTTTTTCAGTTCCTATGGAATAGAGGATCTTGTTGAATCCATTGGCCGTATAGGGGGTTTTCTTGTGGAAGTCCGGTTTCAGGAGAGAGGATATGAGAGGGAGGGCATTTGGAACTGCCATCTACGAACCCAAATAGTCCTTGACCTAATAACAAGGGACGCATTTGTGTGCGCCAAAACAGAAAATTAGTAGTGGTTAACTTGACTGAGATGAAGTGATGGGCATTTGAAAGGTGGGTGACGTGAGGAGATATGGTTTGGGAGGGTGGGGTATTTGAAGGGATCTGATTTGTTGAAGCGGAAGTGGGACTAGTTGAGGCCATTGGTGCAGTTTTGCTTAAAGCTCTGATACCAAATCATAACAAAGGATTCTATTTCTCTTTTCAAGGACTGTTGTTCTGCCATGTGGCAGCGTATATTTATACATGTATGTAACAGTGTGATTGGACTACAACTCTATACATTATATGAAAGTGGAAGTATGGCTGAACTACAACTCTATAATTAGTGACATGTTTATCTCCAGTAGCTAATTAGTGGCGTGTTTGACTTCAGCAGCAGTGCCGCGTATGAGCTCCAGTGGAAGTGCTTTAGTGTCGTGTGCTCCTGTAGCGTGTTGGTCTGATACTACGGATCGGAATAGAGGTCTTCACACTAAGTTGGAATTTATAGACCTCGAAAAGAATCCATATACAACGTAAGACCTTTCTTGTAGGCTACCATCATTAGTAGAAGTGCAAAGAAACAGCATGATTCGTGCACATTTATGACCTCATTAATTTGCAGTTACATGCCGCTGATATGATTTGGGTCAGTCTGGAAAGTCAAAACCACTTAAATATGAGAAAATGCCTCTTATAAGCCGGAAAAGACATAAAAAAAAAAAAACTGCAGAATATGTTGCAAATAAATATATAAATCTTTTCATATGCACTGAACAGAATGATTTATCCAAAATGACGTTTTATGTGCATATTTTGGAATATTGAGATGCATAATTATGTGCTAAACCAATCTTATGTCCCTTTCATTTGGTTACAGATTGTTAAGATATTAAGTTCATCTCAACATGGGGACGCATCAGTGGCATGTTAGAGAAACAGAAAACCTTAGCAGCCAGGGATAGAAAAAAAGCAACCAAAAAAAAGAGCAAAAAGAGAGAAAGGAGAGAGGGGAAGAATGTTAGCATGCTGCCCATACACAATTTCTTTCTATTAATTTGACTTGAAAATCTTAATAAAAAGATATGTTAGGAACTTAACATATATTCAAAAATATAAATGATTCGATTAAAAATAGAAGAGCAAATTAAAAAAATAACTTATTATATAAGTCCATATTGAACTATTTTACCGTAAATTTTAAAGCTACAACTTGTCATGCCCAAGAAAAAAGAAAAAACAACTTATATATGGGAGCAAAAGTTTTAAGAAACCCTACTAATCAACAAAGTAAAAAATAAAAATTAATAACCAACTTGGTGTATTCAACAATAAAATAAAATTCAAAATTGCACAAACGAAAATAAGAATCACTATAAGATCTAATTAAATTGTGTTTTTTTTTTTAATATTCTATTTTAATAAATTCATTGAACAAGTTTACTAGTTCTTTTTCAAGCTTTTATGCATTGTAAAGCCCAATCACAAGAAAATAATTACAAGAGAAAATTCAAGAAATTATAATTTTTCACAAAAATTGAAATTTGAAAATAGTAAAACATAAGAAAGAAGAGAGGAGAGGACGTACTCTTTAAAGTTTCTTCTAGTTGAGAATTTGGTTTTTGATCAAGCCACAATGAACAAATTAATTTTATTATGGGATCCTTATAATGAATAATAACCTAGAAAAATTAACTAGGAAATTCCTTTTAGGGGTGAGTTTGATTTGATTAGGAAAATTCTTATTCAGGAAATAAATAAATGTATAAAATGTTTGATATAGAAGAAGTATCATGGAAGAAATAATGAATGTTAAATTATGATATACAATTATTTAATATGCATTTATTAATATAGCACTCTATCTTTATATCAACTATCAACCCTAAAACTATGTTCGAGTGGAAAGATCTCTAGTAGTTTAAACAAGTGGTTTCGGATTCGTGTTCTTGTGAATACAAAAAACTTTTTAGATAGCTATTTTTGTTTTGTGCATCTAATAGAACAATGAAATATTAGTCTAAACCTTTGATCTTGAGATATTCTAGAGGATTAAAAAAAAAAAAGAAATATGATAACTTAAAAAAAGGAAATGTTTGAAAGACAAAATGGTATTTTGAAATAATTGCAAAAATGGCAAAATTTTACACACATATATATTGAAAAAGGACTCAAGGTTAATGTTTATGTCAAATTAATTCTTTTTACGGAGGTACCCTAAATTTTGGACGCAATACTTTTCTAAATATGTGTGAATGTAAAAGTCGTAATATTCTATATTGAATTTGTGATCGATTTATAACTTGTTTTCCGAATTAAAAAAATGTTTATTTAATCGTTTTTATCATTCTAAAAAAAAAAAATTGATCGTACATACCTCAATGGTTCTATTAGTGGAAACATATTATGTTAAGGTGTCCTTATTAGAGACAAAAATCGTGATTGTTAATAATTTAGCAAACTAGATATTTCTATATCGAAGAAATTTTTATGGAAATGGGAACTGCAAGCTTTCATATTTTATGGAAAGAGATTGGTGGAATTTGACCATTAAGCTAATGAATGATTTGCAAAAACATAACTCTGTTCACACTCGCTCGTCACCTTTCTCATTTCTTAATTTATGAGAAATGATTTTTGGATCATTAGAGATTAATCTAGTCTTCAAGTAATACCGACAAGTGGTAATTGCTAATTGATAACCTTCTTCTTGCCCAAACTTTGGAAGAAATTATTCTATATGTAGCGCCCCATGCCCGGATCCATTCATGATGGCATCCCAAGTGAGGGAGACGCTACGATCAAACAAAACGGGCATATAATACAGCTCAAACAAAACCAAATATAACTCATTTTCATATCCTCAAAAAAAGAACTTAATCCCACAAACATACATGACTTGCAGTGTAAAAAGGCACCCGGCCATGTTGCTTTAAAACATAAACTCGTACAAATGTTTGAACTTCGATTATAAACATTGAACAACACTTTGGGGAAATTTTAAACTTCGAGTGATATTAAAAAAGTTAGGGTTGATATCTAATTTTGAAAAAAAGTTGATTAAGTGGTTTTAATTGATTAATCGAAGATTGTTTTGCTTTGAGCTTGTGTTTTATTAAGATAGATTGAGATTTAAATGGTTAGATTTCATTAATCGAGAAATTATGTGATGTTATGCTCGGAATTGGAGTTTTTGTGAATATTTGTTATTGTGAGGTTGGTTGAGTTGAATTTAAGTTTGTATAGTATGAGAATTTTGATGAATTATTGATTTAATTATAGGAATTGATTAGCTTGAGGTGATCTATACCGACCATAAGAGTCTCAAGTACTCTTTACTCGAAGGAGTTCAATATGAGGCGAGAGAAGGTGGCTTGAGGTATTGAAAGATTATGATATTATTCTTTATTACTATCCAGGTAAAGCTAATGTTGTAGCTGATGCTTTAAGTCAAAAGTCTTGGTCGGTTTTACTCAAAAGACAAACCCATTAGAAACTAACATCAAAAACACCATATAACATCCAAAAATAACTAGAAATTTTGGCAAGAACACACCTTTCTCTTTTGGGTTCGAAATTAACCTCCGGAACAACAACTTTTCAAACTCTAATTTTGCTTAAAACCCATTTTGATCATCATAACTATCTTAATATAAGGTTGTTTAGTGATGAGAAATGTTAGAAAACAAGTGTGGAGAAAAGGGTGCTTGATTGGGTTATGGAGAAGAAGAAAAGGGGAAGAGAAAAAGTGGGAAGAGAGAGAAGAATAATGGAACCCGTATGGTTCTAGCAAAGGCATAAAAAAAGAATGTCAAAATTACTACATGGTCCTTATAATTATATCCAACTTTTAAAGTAGTCTCTCAACTTCTAATAAAACTCGTTCATATCCTTAAATTTATTCAATTAGCTCCAAAACACCATATTGCCTCTCAATCTCCAAGACACATATAATCCAAACACCACAACTAAAGGATAAATAATTTATAAAATGTCATATATATATAGTCAAAACATACTAACACAAGCATACACATGCATAATATGAAAAATTTATATTGGATGTTACACTCGTATATCTAGAATTGTATTTTTTTTTCTCGTATAAAGAGAAAATTTTGTATTTTTGTATGAAAAAGGAGTACAAATATGTACTAATACACCTAATAATTTCTCAAATTTTAGTTTCTTTTAAAGGGGTACTTGCCACTCCTTTATTTGTCATTGTTACTATTTGAATGATTAGATGAATGCTATGTGTTATAATGTAAATGGACGGAGAATATTGAGTTGCTTTCACTATACAAAAAACTCGTCAAATAGTTATGAGATTTTTTGTAGTTATACCGATATTTTCCGTCGCTATTAATTTTTAGTGACGGATAGTTCTAGCCATTTAGGGATTTGGATTAATGACGGATGCGATTCCATCGTTAATCTATCTTTAATTAGCATTGGATTTTGAATTTCAAAAATTCATTCTTTTTTCAATATTAACGACGGAATTTTTGTTGCTAATTTGTGAGAAAAATATATGCATTCGAGTCACTAATTGTAACCCCAAAAATAGCGACGTAATTTGTTATTCTATCGTTGATTGCTCTCGTAATTCCGTTACTAAATCATCCCTATATACCCCTAAATATTCATTGACAGATTAAGTCCGTTGTTGCAAATTCATCATTAATCCATTTTGGTATCCCGTCTCTAAAATCCATCTCTTCATAATAGTCGTAATTAGTTTGTTAATCCATCATTATTTAGTGAAAAACTTAAAATTGTTGTTAATTTCTGTCGTTATTTGTAAATTTTTTTGTGGTGTTTGTTAGAAGTGAATGGGGTTGATTTAATTTCATCTAAAAATAAAGGGATTGATTTGATCAAATGTGTAAAGTAAAACAACTAGATATGAACTAGTATCATGTCCAATAACCTTACTAGCTAAAACTAGCTATCAACCACAATTTCTCATATCTTCGAATGGGTTGGACTTTTGTGTTCGTCTCTGCATAAAGATGCTTTTGGTTTTATTACAGATTTTTGTTAACATTATAACTTTCCAGTTCTAACAAAGAAATGTGGATAACGACTTTTTGAAAAAGTAAAGGCAAAAAGCAGTCTAGTAATTGTACAAACTAATGATTTGCTTCAATCTTTACATTTCTTTTGTACTTTATATAATTAGTAACTTAAGACCGGCCACTTCAAACTCACATTTCCTTTTGGGGTGGAGTGGCCCAGAAAACAGAAAGAAAAACTAATTTCAAAAAGTTTTTTTCTCTTTTCTATAATAAAAATATTTTTGAGTTAGTTTTTATATTAATCGAGATTATATTTATTATTTTATGAGATAGATAAGTGTTAGATTAGTTAATTTTAAGAATTAAGATGAGTTTTTTAAAAAATGAGAATCAAATTTTTAATCTAATGAATCTAATGATTAGATTAAAAATACTCCTTTTATTAGTCCATAAATAAAGACTTTTTTTTTCTCATAATAAGATATTTTCAAATTAAATTTTATATTAATCGAGAATATAGTCAATTATTTTTTAAAATAGATCAATACCAAATCAAATCTAATTTTTAGTTAATTCTAAAAATTAGATTCTTCAAGAGGGATAAGTTTAAAAAAAATGAGAATCGAAATTCTATCCAGTGAGTTAAAAAAACCTTTTTACCACTCCATAAAAAAAGGTTTATAAAGCACACAAAGTAAGAATTTACAACAAAGTTATTGTACTTATTCACAAAGAAAGATTTCTTGCTGTAGCTGTGGATGGTACAGACCAAACCTCTTTTTTATTCTCTCGAGTAATATCTAGCATCACCAGTTGAAGCTAATGGATTCAAAGTGCAAGTTATCTGCTAAACCAGATGAACAAATTTTGGCAACCTCATGTCGCATTTTCCTTGGTCCACAAGCTAGTACTCCAACATCTGAGGCTTTGCAATCGAACAAAATTCCTGCAATGCCAACAGGAAATGATTAGTCCTCTAAGAAAAATGGAAAAAAGATTGCAAGCTATTCCAGTGATTTGAAGATGGAAATTAATGTTTTTGCTATATTTACTTACTCTTAAGATCAGGCCTTGCACCAAAATGCACCTTGGTAGCTTGAACAAGTGATTGATGAGGAAGGCTTTCGAGCTCTCTCTCCGTGTTGCGAAACCACGAACCTGGTGATGCTGTAGGAGTTGGAACTTCTAAGTTCTGAATTTGCTTCCCTTCCATGGCATGCTCTTTCTTGCAGAAAAGAAAGACTGCACTAGAAGTTATAAAAATGCAGGCACAAAGCAAAAACATGTCCCATAGTACAAAATAGGAAAAATGGTATATCTCCTCAGTGTTGTGATCAATGGGGTAGATATAGTATTGCGTGACGATGCATAGTATGAGAAGGAACATGACAAATGATGAAGCTATTATTGCACCAAGCCATAGCCAATTGTTGTTGCCTAGACCTGCACAAATCGGCGAGTCCATTTGGTTTGGTTTGAACCAAATGGTTTGGAGAAGCTTTAGGTTATCTGCGATAGGCTGCTCTTCCTCTCTTGTGATATAGGCTTCAATTTGCAGCTGCATTGGGATATGTTTGCAGGTGTGCCATTGATTGGAAGCAAGAGGTCTAGCATGGCAAGATCAGCTGCGTTCTTGAATGCACAAACAAGAAGGACTCGAGGAACTTGACAGTTCGGTTTGTAGCTTTCGGGCATGATCTCGCGGATTATGGATATAAAGGGAGTGATGCCACTACCTCCACTCACTTAAACCAGCAACTCATGCCTGTGGAAAGGTAAATCAAACTTGATGAGCTTGATATCAGAAATTCATGACAGTTTTCTAAACACAGGACTTCTTTCCAGGTGGTACAGTTTTCTAAACACAGGACTTCTTTCCAGGTGGTACAGTTTTCTAAACACAGGACTTCTTTCCTGGTGGTAAACTAACCTTTGAAAATGAGATGAAGCAGGTCCATAGGGTCCTTCAACAGATACTTCAAGACGTTCCAGCGGAGAAGAAATTTCTTGGTAAAGCTTTTGGGACCAACTTCCCAGTCTTTTGACAACTACACTTAGCTTATCTTGCTCCATATTGCAGCTTGAACTTATAGTATAAGGATGCCATTGTAGTTTTGAAATGCTAGGGACATTTAGAAAAAGTATGCTTGTTGGATTATAATACAGCCCTGAGAGAGGAAAAGGAAATCAAATCATAATGATATAAAATGTTTCCATTGCTGCATCTAGATCAAAATGTGTTCTTACCTGGACTCTTGGAGAAAGTCAGCTCGATACTACCACAAGGTAAGAGACGAGCTGACTCTAATCTTGCCCGTCGCTGTGACTGTAAGAATCTCAGGTATCGGTCGATGATGAAGAGGAAGATCCCAGGCAATATCATGCAGAAGTAGGCAGCACCAACATGCAATAGATAGAAGACTATGTAGAGAATATATAGTTGGTGGGTGTAGAAGAAAACCTCGAACACTTTAAGCCTCATACGGTAAGAGCTTGTCACCCACATTGCTAATGCAAGAACAATTGCAATTTCTCCAGCAACATTTGATACCCAGGTTTGGCTCCATTCCAGCATCTGCTTGGTCCCAATAAAAATTTCAATGTGAAGAGCACATAACAAATGCAGGAAACACCATTGACATCACTAAACCTTCAGGCATAACATCAAGATAAGAGGTGCTGGTTTGATTCCTAGAACCAAGGGAGATTGGAACCCAGCACCTTATGCCAAGAGGTGCTACCATGCATACCACAAACCTATTGGTGACTAAACATAACGCTAAGCCACTACTGCATGTGGCTTTGTTTGATGCATGAGAGTCGAGACATTCTTGAACTTTATGAGCAATTTAAGAATTGCTTTTTCTTTTTTCTTTTCAAACCCACTAAAGATCTAAAGTCATCATTTAAATGTGCATGAGACTCTCACGTATGCACGTTTGTCCTGAAAAAAGCATTTTTTCTTTTTGTATATTGCGTATGTAATTTTTAGAGAATCAATTTGTTATTTATATAATAGGATTAGGATTAGTATTCAATATGTTTTTATATTGTAAAATGAGTAAATTGTGTTTTTGTTATAAAAAAAAAATTATGTGAATTGTACATGACATGTCACTTGTTCCGATTTTTCAATGATTTAATAAGAAAATTCAAAAAAAAAAAAAATGCAAGTTCGTTTAAAATATAAAGACATAATTGCTTTCATTTTAGACACTGTTCCGTTATATATATACATACAGGGCTGTTTCCCCTCACTTTTAACATGACAAAGAAAGAAAAGTTTTGAGCAAAAGGAATCTAAGACCACTTTCATGGTCCCTCCCTTCTGCCCAACAAGAAAGACAACATGATTGATTTGCAAGAAAAGATTGATGATAAAGCTCTAATCACCCAAAAAGTTGGAAGGAATTCCACACCTTTGATCAGATATTCTGAGGACAAAACAATCAGAATCATAGGATAAAAAGTATAAACACACAATAGCTAAAGGCCACAATATTATTGACCACGAAAGTCTAGTTAGATAAGATTAGCAGTAATTTCAAGTACCAGAGCCATTTGATTAGTCATCGCCCAGTATATGATGAAACCGACGGTATGTGCAGTAAAAAGAATCATGGAAAGATGACCGAGCCAGATATGATACTTGATACTGGATTCAGATGTAAGCCCAACGAGAGGCAGAATCGAAGATCCTCGTGTGACAGGAAAGAAGAGAAATGCCCAGCATATGTTTCTAACATATCCAAGTCTCAATGACACACTTCGAAACTTAGCTTTCCACCTGCAAAAGCCGATTAATGGACGAAAAGAAACATGTTAGTTTATGAATTTTGAAGAAGTAGAAGATGAAGAATTAGTTCTTTTCATGCAAAATGGATTCTAGCTACAGTGAGAATGAACAAAAAGATGAAAGGGATCTTACACTTTCTCCCCTACTTTATGCATGTAGAGATGACCAAAATTGACATACAAGTAGTTGGCAAGAGACCAGATCAAGAGTGCAATAAACATGGCTGCAAAAGCAAGCTCCATTGCAGTCACAATTCCAAAGGAGCCATCACAATTGCTGGACGTCTTAAGAAGGACAAACGATTTCTTGTAACAACACTGCAACAAGTATAATGTACAGTAATGTGATAATCTCCGAAGCATTACATTTTTCTCTTTAATATCAAAACACTAGAAAGAACTGATGAAAGACAACCTTTTGGAGTTTGGCTTTTCCAGCTTCTTCTGTAAATGGAGATAAACAGACCCTAAGGCAGCTATGAAAACGACAGGGAAAGAAAAGAGCAGAAGATTTGTGCCTGTACCAATGGTAGGAAAAAAAAATTCAATTGGGCGAATGATTTAAGCTAGTTATCTGGACAGGAAAGCATAATCGAAAACAACCTTGTGCTGCAAAATATGTTGAATTAAGTTTGCTGTCTAGCTTGGCACTGGGAGTCCTCCTATTTTTGTATAACTTTGTCGGCAACATAATCCAACTCATGAGCCATCCAAGAAACACCACAAGGAAGACTAGCCTGAAGACTCTCATGTTGCTCATCTTCTTGCTTTTTCAGTTCCTATGGAATAGAGGTCTTCACACTAAGTTGGAATTTATCGACCTCGAAAAGAATCTATATACAACGTAAGACCTTTCTTGTAGGCTACCATCATTAGTAGAAATGCAAAGAAACAGCATGATTCATGCACATTTATGACCCCATTAATTTGCAAGTTACATGCTGGTGAGAATGTGATTTGGCTCAGTCTGGAAAGTCAATACCACTTAAATATGAGAAAATGCCTCTTATAAGCCGGAAAAGACATAAAAAAAAAAAAAAAAACTGCAGAATATGTTGTAAACAAATATATAAATCTTTTCATATGCACTGAACAGAATGATTTATCAAAAATGACGTTTTATGAGCATATATTTGAATATTGAGATGCATAATTATGTGCTAAACCAATCTTATGTCCCTTTCATTTGGTTACAGATTGTTAAGATATTAAGTTCATCTCAACATGAGGACGCATCAGTGGCATGTTAGAGAAATAGAAGACCTTAGCAGCCAAAGATAGGAAAAAAGGCAACCAAAAAAAAAAAAAGAAAAAAGAAAAAAGAAAGATAGAGAGCAAAAAGAGAGAAAGAAGAGAGGGGAAGAATGTTGGCGATGCTGCCATGCACAATTTCTTCTAGTGATTTGATTTGAAAATCTTAATAAAAATATATATTAGAAACTTAATATATATTCAAAGGTATAAATGATTCAATTAAAAATATGAGAATAAATTAAAAAAAAATTATCTTATTGTATAAGTACATATTGAACTATTTTACCTTTAATTTTAAAGTTACAACTTTTCATGCCCAAGAAAAATGAAAAGATAACATATACATGGCAGCAAAAGTTTAAGAAGCCCTACTAATCAACAAAGTAAAAAATAAAAATTTAACAACCAACATGGTATACACAACAACAAAATAAAATTCAAAATTGCACAAACGAAAATAAGAATCACTATAAGAGCTAATTAAATTGTGTGTGTGTGTTTTTTATATTCTATTTTAATAAATTCATTGAACAAGTTTACAAGTTCTTTATCAAGATTTTACGCAATGTAAAGCCTAATCACAAGAAAATAATTACAAGACAAAATTCAAGGAATTATAATTTTTCACAAAAATTAAAATTTGAAAATAGTAAAACATAAGAGAGAAGAGACGAGAGGACGTACTCTTTAAAGTTTCTTCTGGTAGAGAATTTAGTTTTCGATCAAGCCACAATGAACAAATTAAGTTTATAATGGGATCCTTATAATGAATAATAACCTAGAAAAATTAATTAGGAAATTCCTTTGAGGGGTAAGTTTGATTTGATTAGGAAAATTATTATTCAGGAAAAAAATAAATGTATAAAATATTTGATATAGAAGAAGTATTATGAAAAAAAATAATGAATATTAAATTATGATAGACAATTATTTAATATGCATTTATTAATATAGCATTCTATCTTTATATCAACTATCAACCCTAAAACTATGTTTGAGTAGATTTTAATTGTTTAAACAAGTAATTTCGCGTTCGTGTTCTTATGTATATAAAAACTCTCTTGATTGCTATCTTTGTCTTGTGTATCCGACAAAACAATGAAAGATTTGTCTAAACCTTTGATCTTGAGATATTTTGGAGGATTAAAAAAAAAAAAAAACTATCAACCCTAAAACTATGTTCTCTAATTACCAAACCAAAAAAAAAAAAAAAAAAAAATCCGATAACTTGAAAAGGGACATTTTTGAAAGACAAAATGGTATTTTGAAATAATTACAAAAATGGAAAATATATATATATAAATGTAAAAGTCACAATATTCTATATTGAATTTGTGATCGATTTATAACTTGTTTTCCGAATAAAAGAAATGTTTATCTAATCGTTTTTATCTTTCTAAAAAAAATTTTGATCTTACATACCTTAATGGTTCTATTAGTGGAAACATATTATTAGAGACAAAAATGGTGATTGTTAATAATTTAGCAAAGTATATATTTCTATATCGAAGAAATTTCTATGGAAATGGGAACTGCATGCTTTCATATTTTATGGAAAGAGATTGGTGGAATTGACCATTGAGCTAATGAATGATTTGCAAAAACATAACTCTGTTGACACTGTCTGTCACCTTTCTCATTTCTCAATTTGTGAGAAATGATTTTTGGATCATTAGAGGTTAATCTAGTCTTCAAGTACTACGGACAAGTGGTAATTGCTAATTGATAACCTTCTTCTTTCCCAAACTTTGGGAGAAATTATTCTATATAGCTAGAATTGTATTCTTTTTTTTTTTTTTCGTATAAAGAGAAAATCTATTGATTATTTGCATAATAAATTCTGTATTTTCTTAAGAAAAAGGAGTACAACTACATACTAATACACATAATAATTTCTCAAATTTTAGTTTCTTTTAAAGGGATGCTTGCCACTCTTTTATTTGTCGTTGTTATGATTAGATGAATGCTATGTGTTATAACATAAATGGACGGAGAATATTGAGTTGCTTTCACTATATAAAAACAACTCGTCAACGAGCGATAGATTTTTTGTAGTTATACCAATATTTTTTGTCGTTATTAATTTTTAGTGATGAATGGTACTAGCCATTTAGGGATTTGGGTTAATAATGGATGCGATTCTGTCTTTAATCCATCTCTAATCGGCGTTGGATTTTGAATTTCAAAAGTTCATTCTTTTTTCAATATTAACGATGGAATTTTGGTCGCTAATTTGTGAGAAAAATATATGCATTCCGTCGCGAATTCTAAATCCAAAAATAGCGATGCAATTTGTTATTCCATCATTGATTGCTCTCGTAATTCCCTTACTAAATCATCCCTAAATACCCGCAGATATTCATGGACAGATTAAGTCCATTGTTGCAAATTCGTCATTAATCCATTTTGATATCCCGTCTCCGAAATCCATATCTTGATAACAATCGTAATTAGTTTGTTAATCTATCATTATTTAGTGACAAACTTAAATATGTTATTAATTTTTGTCTTAAATATGTTGTTAATTTTTGTCGTTATTTGTAAATTTTTTTGTGGTGTTTGTTAGAAGTGAATGGGGTTGATTTGATTTCATCTAAAAATAAAGGGATTGATTTGACCAGATGTGTAAAGTAAAACAACTAGATATGAACTAGTATCATGTCCAATAACCTTACTAACTAAAACTAGCTATCACCCACAATTTCTCATATCTTCAAATGGGTTGGACTTTTGTGTTTGTCTCTGCATAAAGATGCTTTTGGTTTTATTACAGATTTTCGTTAACATTATAACTTTCCAGTTCTAACAAAGAAATGTGGATAACAACTTTCTGAAAAAGTGAAGGCAAAAAGGAGTCTAGCTAGTTATTGTACAAACTAATGATTTGCTTCAATCTTTACATTTCTTTTGTACTTTATATAATTAGTAACTTAAGACCCGCCACTTCAAACTCACATTTCCTTTTGGGGTGGAGTGGCCCAGAAAAAGAAAGAAAAACTAATTTCAAAAAGTGTTTTTTTCTTTTCTATAATAAAAATATTTTTGAGTTAATTTTTATATTAATCGAGATTACGTTTATTAATTTTTGAGACAGATAAGTGTTAGATCACATCTAACTTTTAGTTAATTTTAAGAATTAAATTCCCTAAAAAGATATGAATTTTTAAAAAATGAGAATATAATTTTTAATCTAATGAGTTAAAAATACTCCTTTTATCACTTCATAAATAAAGATTTTTTTTTCATAATAAGATATTTTCAAATTTTATTTTGTATTAATCGAGAATAGTCAATTATTTTTTAGAATAGATGAGTATCAAATCACATCTAATTTTTAGTTAATTCTACAACTTGGATTGGTCAAGTGGGATAAGTTTTTAAAAAATGAGAACCGAACTTCTATATAGTGAGTTTAAAAAACCTTTTTACCACTCCATAAAAAAAAGGTTTATAAAGCACACAAAGTAAGAATTTACAATAAAATTATTGTACTTATTCACAAAGAAAAAGTTCTTGCTGTAGCTGTGGATGGTACTGATCACCAAACCCCATTTTTTCCCTCTCTAGTAATATCTAACATCACCAGTTGAAGCTAATGGATTCAAAGTGCAAGTTATCTGCTAAACCAGATGAACAAATTTTGGCAACCTCATGTCGCATTTTCCTTGGTCCACAAGCTAGTACTCCAACATCTGAGGCTTTGCAATCGAAAAAAATTCCTGCAATGCCAACAGGAAATGATTAGTTCTATAAGAAAAATGGAAAAAAGATTGCAATCTATATATTGAAGTGATTTGAAGATGGAAATTAATGTTTTAGTTATATTTACTTACTCTTAAGATCAGGCCTTGCACCAAAATGCACCTTGGTAGCTTGAACAAGTGATTGATGAGGAAGGCTTTCGAGCTCTCTATCCGTGTTGTGAAACCAGGAACCTGGTGATGCTGTAGGAGTAGAAACTTCTAAATTCTGAATCTGCTTCCCTTCCATGGCATGCTCTTTCTTGCAGAAAAGAAAGACTGCACTAGAAGTTATAAAAATGCAGGCACAAAGCAAAAACATGTCCCAAAGTACAAAATAGGAAAAATGGTATATCTCCTCAGTGTTGTGATCAATGGGGTAGATATAGTATCGCGTGACGATGCCTAGTACAAGGAGGAACATGACAAATGATGAAGCTATTATTGCACCAAGCCATAGCCACTTGTTGTTGCCTAGACCTGCACAAATTGGCGTGTCCATTTGGTTTGGTTTGAACCAAATGGTTTGGAGAAGCTTTAGGTTATATGCGATAGGCTGCTCTTCCTCTCTTGTGATATAGACTTCAATTTGCAGCTGCATTTGGGATATGTTTGCAGGTGTGCCATTGATTGGAAGCAAGAGATCTAGCATGGCAAGATCAGCTGCGTTCTTGAATGCACAAACAAGAAGGACTCGAGGAACTTGACAGCTCGGTTTCGTGCTTTCGGACATGATCTCTCGGATTATGGATATAAAGGGAGTGATGCCACTACCTCCACTCACTAAAACCAGCAACTCATGCCTGTGGAAAAGTAAATCAAACTTGATGAGCATGATATCAGAAATTCACGTAGAGTTTTCTAAACACAGGACTTCTTTCCTGGTGGTAAACTAACCTTAGAAAATGAGATGAAGCAGGTCCATAGGGTCCTTCAACAGATACTTCAAGACGTTCCAGCGAAGAAGAAATTTCTTGGTAAAGCTTTTGGGACCAACTTCCCAGTCTTTTGACAACTACACTTAGCTTATCTTGCTCCATATTGCAGCTCGAAGTTATAGTATAAGGATGCCATTGTAGTTTCGAAATGCTAGGGACATTTAGAAAAAGTATGCTTGTTGGATTATAATACAGCCCTGAGAGGGGAAAAGGAAATCAAATCATAATGATATAAAATGTTTCTATTGCTGCATCGTCTCGATGAAAATCTGCTCTTACCTGGACTCTTGGAGAAAGTCAGCTCAATACTACCACAAGGTAAGAGACGAGCTGACTCTAATCTTGCCCGTCGCTGTGATTGTAAGAATCTCAGGTATCGGTCGATGACGAAGAGGAAGATCCCAGGCAAGATCATGCAGAGGTAGGCAGCACCAACATGCAATAGATAGAAGACTATGTAGAGAATGTATAGTTGGTGGGTGTAGAAGAAAACCTCGAACATTTTACGCCTAATACGGTAAGAGCTAGTCACCCACATTGCTAATGCAAGAACAATTGCAATCTCTCCAGCAACATTTGATACCCAGGTTTTGCTCCATTCCAGCATCTGCTTGGTCCCAATAAAAATTTCAATGTGAAGAGCACATAACAAATGCAGGAAACACCATTGACATCACTAGACCTTCAGGCATAACATCAAGAATAAATTAATAAGAGGTGCTGGTTCGATTCCTAGAACCAAGGGAAACGGGAACCCAGCACCTTATGCCAAGAGGTGCTACCATGCGCATCAAAAACCTATTGGTGACTGAACATAACGCTAACCCACTAACTGCCTGACTACTGCATGTGACGTTGTTTTTCTCGTTTTTTTTTTTTTTTTTTGGATTTTCTAGATATTGCAGGTTCAAAAATCTATTCTAATTTTTTGCTATTCAGCCGAACACTTAAAACAGATATAACTATCCAAAATAAATTTTATATACATAAACTAAGACCTGCTTGAACAACTAAAGGTTTTTTTTTTTTTTTTTTTTTTTTTTTTTTTTTTTTTAAGATAGCATGCGATATTGTTTGATGCATTAGAGTCAAGAGATTCTTGAATCTGTGAGCACTTTAAGAATTTCGTTTTCTTTTTCTTAAATCTACTAAAGAACTAATGTCATCATTTAAATGTGCATGAGACTCTCATGTATATATGCACGTATGTTATGCAGCCATGCCCCATGTCCTTAAAAAGGCCTTTTTTTCCCTTTGCTAGTGTAACTTATAGGATCAATTTGTTATTTACCTTTATATTTTAAAATAAATAAATTGTATCTTTTGTTATTTTAATTAGATTTTCAATGTCATTTTAGTAAATTTTTTTTGGTAAATTACCAGAAAAAATTACCTGATTTATAAATAATTAATTTTCTCGAAAATACTCTTACAAAACAAAAAACATGACTTGCACACGTTCAATGGAGAGGCATTTTTGAAAAAAATTAATCATGTCATGTAATGTCACTTTTTTCGGCGGTTTGATAGAAAAAATTCACAAGAAAAACAGATTAGTAATTAACTAAACACATAAACGCTTCATTACAGGGCTATCACCTCCTGCTTTTAACATGACAACGAAAGAAAAGTTTTGAGCAAAAGGAATCTAAGACCACTTTCATGGTCCCTCCCTTCTGTCCAACACGAAAGACAACATGATTGGTTTCCAAGAAAAGATAGATGATAAAGCTCTAATCACACAAAAAGTTTGAAGGAATTCCACACCTTTGATAAGATATTCTGAGGACAAAACAATCATAATCATAGGATAAAAAGTATTAACACGCCAAAAGTTAAAGGCCACAATATTGACCACGAAAGTCCAATTAGATAAGATTAGCAGTAAATATTTCACGTACCAGAGCCATTTGATTGGTCATCGCCCAGTATATGATGAAACCTACGGTATGTGCAGCAAAAAGAATCATGGAAAGATGACCGAGCCAGATATGATACTTGATGCTGGACTCAGATGTAAGCCCAACAAGAGGCAGAATCGAAGATCCTCTAGTGACAGGAAAGAATAGAAATGCCCAACATATGTTTCCAACATATCCAAGTCTCAATGACACACTTCGAAACTTAGCTTGCCACCTGCAAAAGCCGATTAATGGACGAAAAGAAACATGTTAACGTATGAATTTTGAAGAAGAAGGAAGCATTAGTTCTTTTCATGCAAAATTGATTCTAACTACAGTGAAAATGAACAAAAAGATGAAAGGGATCTTACACTTTCTCCCCTACTTTATGAATGTGGAGATGACCAAAACTGACATACAAGTAGTTGGCAAGAGACCAGATCAAGAGTGCAATAAACATGGCTGCAAAAGCAAGCTCCATTGCAGTAACAATTCCAAGAGGAGCGATCACAATTGTTGGACGTCTTATGAAGGAGAAACGATTGCTTGTAACAACACTGCAACAAGTATAATCTAAAGTAATGTTATAAATTCCGAGGCATTACATTTTTCTCTTAAATATCCAAACAGTAGCAAGGACTGAAGTGGGCTAGTAAGAAAGACAACCTTCTGGAGTTTGGCTTTCTCAGCTTCTTCTGTAAATGGAGATAAACACATCCTAAGGCAGCCGTGAACATCACAGGGAAAGAAAGGAGCAGAATATTTGTGCCTGTACCAAAGGTAGGAAAAGAATCAATTGGAAGAATGATTTAAGTTAGTTATCTGGACAGGAAAGGATAATCAAAAACAACCTTGTCCTGCAAAATATGTTGACTTAAGTTTGCTGTCTAGCTTGGGAGTCCATGTATTTTTGTACAACTTTGTCGGCAACATGATCCAAATCATGAGCCATCCAAGAAACACCACAAGGAAGATTAGCCTGATGACACTCATGTTGTTCATCTTCTTTGCATGTTGTTCATCTTCTTTGCTTTTTCAGTTGTTGAGGAAGAGTTCTTCAGACGAAGTTGGAATTTATAGCCCTGCAAAGTTTGATAAAATGCTATAAGTTAACACCAGCTTCGAAAAGAATCTATATACGTACGACGTAAGACCTTTCTTGTAGGCCGCCATCATCAGTAGAAGTACAAAGAAACAGCATGATTCGTGCACATTTGCAAGTTACATTCTGCAGAGAATGTGATTTGGCTTACACTGGAAAGTCAAAACCACTTAAATATAAGAAAATGCCTCTTATAAGCAGGAAAAGACGCATAAAAACTGCAGAATATGTTACAAACACACAACTGAACAGAATGATTTATCCAAAATGACGTTTTATGTGCATATTTTCGAATATTGTGATGCATACTTATGTGCTAAACCAATCTTATGTCTCTTTCATTTGGTTACAGATTTTCACATCTTTCACCAATGTCTTATATGCACCGTTGGTTTATGTGGACGCCATGCGTGATCACCCCATTTTTACTTCTTTAAAACAAAAGAATTATAAATATTTAAAAAACATGAGCAAAAAGAGAGAGAGGAGAGAGGGGAAGAATGTTGAGATATGGAGTGTTTTTTCTGTCTTTAAATCATCTTATCTACGATTTAATTAGAAAAAAAACCCTATAATCAACTTAGATATATATATAAACATAAAAATAAACTTTGGATTAATGAATTCCATTTACCTAGAAATTATTATGACTTTATTATAAGGATACGTTAAGGTGATTGTGATGTTTTCTAAATGTATAAACAACCTTTCTATCTATAACTATTTTTCTTAATTGTTATCTTTAAATTTTTTTAAAAAAAATTGAATGACAACTCTATATTTTTTAACCTTATCTTTTATCATTGCTTAAATGTCATGGTACGATGTTATGCATCAATCTGACAACATCTGCGGTGCTTCCATATATGTTCTCCTAGTTAGTGCCAATTATTGCAGCACAGTTCATGTGTACTTCATCAGCTATAGAATATACAATAGTTCCTGCTGGAAGTACAGCTGACTTTTTTAAGGCAATGCAAGTACAGTTGACCAGTGGCTGAAGAGCAGCGAAGTACATCAGTATCAGAATGAGGGGGTGGATAATTCTATGTGGAATATTAATAAAAAATCATAGAAGGGAGGAGGTGACAACTCTGCCCTAAAATTAAGGATGGAGTTCTTCAGTTTTCACTCTGCAAAAGTACAATGTTCCTGGGTTTGAGCCACGAGTCTGAAGAGGAAAATATCAAGAAAAAATTAGCCATAAACATTGGCAACATTAATGCAAGACAAGGATTTCAAAATGGCAGCAGCTTTATTTTGATGCTGCATAAAAAAAATTACAAGTTTCATTTAGTTCTACACAAATCTAAAGGCTCTGCTCTTCAGTTTGGTAATTTTTCTACAAGTATTTAAGGACCGTCATTCCGAAACCAATACCAAGAAAAGTTGCAGTAGAAATCCCAAAAATGCCTGCAAGAATTCCAGGAACAATTAAAGAACCCCATCCTTTGGCTGTGGCCATTCCACATGCTGTCGTAGGGCCTCCAATGTTGGCATTTGATGCTAGAAGTAATAGCTTTAAGTCAAAGCGCAACAGCTTTCCAGATATAAGAATCACAGCAAGATGAACAGTTACTTGAACTAGAGCAAATAAGAATATACTTGGTGCTGTGTTGATGACATTCCATATGCTCCCACCGGCACCAACTACAGCAAAAAATACCTGTCACGAAAAGCAGCCAATGTAACAAATTGAGATATCTTACGCTTCTGGCGTCAGCTGAAAAACGGCAGGAATCTTTCAAAAGTAATGCCAAGTTCAAATTTTCAGGTACAGCTACGTGGGATAATTAAGAATTTATACACTTAAGGGAGACACATACAAGATGTCAATGACATTGTGATGACAATTTCAGAATAGAAAATTGATTGGTGTTTCTTCAACACTAACAAGGCAGTTTACAGCCATTGACTTGAAGGTTATCCTGATCCAATTTGCAATTGCACATTGAATGCCATATTTTTTTTTATATCCAAAATATCATAAGAGGCAATGTACTGCCTTCTAGCTATACTCTCATAGCCTCAAAACTCCTACAGGGCTATCACATTTTTTTTCACTCTATGAGTATGCTTTGTCTGAGGTGCATACAAATCATTCAAAAAATCATCTGTGAGAAAATATCCAAGAAAAAGATAACATTTGTTCAGAGTATGAGAAGTGGAAATTATTGGGAGCCCGGAATTCAACAAATGAAGTAGCTTGAGTACAAAAAATAGAAAAGATATTAAAACTGGATATAATATTTTTTACCTGCATCAGAACCAAAGCAAGAGTATCACCAGCAGGAGCAAGATAAACAAACTGTGCTGGAAATAATGTTGCTAAAAAGACAACAATAGCCGTTACTGCTGGAAGAGTGCCTCCTTGAATCTTGCATAGTCGTGCAAGATATGTGCCAATCTTACATATCATAAAGGAGATAGCAAGTGCTGTAGCAGTCTGTAGCACAGGGATTTTTCCTTCCGAATTGGATGACACATCCATTTCAACATCTGCCAAAGAGTCAGGTTCTGATAGACATTAGGAGCTGTTTCAACCATCATTAAATTGTGCCCATTTGATTGTCTTTTCGATCCCAACTCAAAGAGTCAAAGGTTATTTTAAGTAATTCGGTAGAAAGTTACTACATACCTTTGGCCAAGGTTGAGGCCTCAGGGGGTATTTTAGAGGCTAATCCAAATAATACCATGAAGTATATGGCACAGATAACATTGTCTGCAGCTACTCCTGCAGCCACAACTGATGGAGAAGCACCAAGAGCCTCTGTAACCGCAACATAATTAACAGCTACAATGACAAAGAAAACATTGTACAAAATCAAAATAAGCAGGCAGCAGTGTGGCCAACAGGCCAATTATGAAGATGCAACAACTTACATCCACCAATATAACTCCCCATGAGGGCAGCAGCTATTTTCCAATTATCTTGGCCAAGAGATCGCATAGGCACCATCAGAAAGGCAATGAAAGTTCCAATAATACTTGCAACTGTCAAATGGAAGAATGAAATTACCAAGAATCACAGGAAATAAGAGCATAAAAAAGATGGCAAGAAACGAAAAACGTATAGAGCTTAACAGCCAAAGTTACTTTCATATGTTTCCATTTGGTATCCACATAAGCAAAGTAGAATACATGATTTGAATTTAAGGGTCTCTGATGCTCTACAGCAGGGCATTGGCAGTCCTCAGCACTTATGAGAGTAATAAATTTCACAAGAGCACACAGAAAGAAAATACCATATGGAATTATTTGACCACAAATTATACTTTTACCATTTGATAGTCACTTAGCACCTTGATACATTCTAGGATAACATACGGCTCAACAGCAAGCTGAAGACATTCAGCCACTGGAAAGAACAAAATAATTGAAACAAGATTGATGTCTTGTCCAGCAAAGACCATTCAGTTTTGGTTCAATTGCATGGCATCTTAAAGCAGCAGATGCTGGTGAAAACAGACTGCAGAGTTGAGATATGCAGAACCATACCCTTAGAAGGTGTCAGTCATTATACAATGGTTCACATACCGACTCTACCGTAACACTAAAACGAATTGATTTCAGATTAAAAGGAAAAAAACACATAAACATAGGGGAACTTACATGAATGGACAACAGTTACTCCCTCACAATCTGCTTCTCAGTTAAGATCTTTGAACTCATGGACACCAGTCAAACACTACGATCCTATTGCTTCCATCAGCTAGCCTAGATTAAATCCAAGATAATACGTATTAGACTCTTTAATTTGATGAAATTAAGACGGATCACTACTTCTTCACTTCAACCACACCAAAGCCCTAACATTCTAAACTTCAAATCTTAATATAAAAATCCAATTCTTTCTGCTTATAAGCAAAATTCATTAGGTACCTTACGAAATAAGTCCACAAACATGATATATACAGGCAATGACAAACTTGACGAAGAAGGTGAAACACAATTAACACATAATTAAGAGGGAAAACAAACCGGAACCAAGCAAGAAAGCTAAGAGCAAAGCCCCAGTGGATCGAAACACATTCCGCAAGTCAGCTCTAAACAGCAGCAAAGGAACAGTTAGAGGCAGCAGATACTCCAGCACAACTGAATATGCCCTTGCTTCATAAGGAATGATTCCTACATTACTAGCTGCAAGTCCAACCATTATGCTCACCAAGGCTGCACTAAGCATACTCCCAAATTTTGTCCTCTCAGACCTTCAAAAATATCAAAACCCAACATTACATTTCCATTTTATCTATTCAAGAAATGCCTTAGACAGTAGCAACTGACACAACTTTGACAAGCTTTTCTTAGGTAGGTCCTTAGTTTAAGGACCACATGCCCATGTCATGAATAACTGAGATTAAACAGACATGAAATATGTGACACAGAAGTTAGTTAATTACCAGATACCGAAAGCCCCAGTGGCAAAGAGAGCAGACCAGATTCCCCAATGGTCATCAGGAGAAATGATAGGATACCTCAACTGTGAACAAACTTTTACTGATTGAATTGGTTTACAGTTCTTCTTTGGCCACGTACATGTAGTAGAAGATAAGGGTGTAGATTTTGGAGGAGTGAGGTGGAGGGAGTAACGAGGAGGTGAGAGGGGTGGTGACAGGTGGGGTAATGGAATTCTTGATGAGAGAGAAAGGGGAAGGTACGGTGTTAATGTTAGAGAAGCCATTAATGGAAGGTTGTTGAGAGAGGAACTCTTAGCGAAATGGTTTATCTTCGGAGGGTTCTGTTTGCTTGGATATTTTGCAGAGATGCTCACGTGGCAAAATCAAAGAGACACACAAGACCCCAACCTCTGCATATGCAGAGGTTGGTTCATTTGTTTTGGTTATGTTTGATAGTGATTTTATATCTATGAAAGGTGTCTCAAAATTAAGGTTAATTCTGTGGTCGGATTCAGACAGGTCTCAAGTCCATGTCCAGAATCGACCATAAAGTCATTGAACCAAGGAAATGGTTCCTGAAATAGACGCATAGAAGAAGGTTAAATGACTTGAAATCTACAACTTGATGCTCATTCCAATTTCTGATACAGAGGGGTTAGTTGTAAGCATCCAATCTTTGGTTTTGAGGTGCACGAACACGAGTTAAACCCAACAAATCATTGAATTTAGCTAGAACTGAACATGGTGTTAATCTACTAACAATTTTGATTCTACATAAAATGAGTTAATTACATTTTGGATGTACAAACTCATTTTAGGTAAAAACATGAAACAGAGATAGGGAATTACGAGGGAGAACTCACTGGTTTCCTCCAGTGAATTATTGTTCAAAAACCAGCAGTGAATCAAAATCCACAACTGGGTTTTGAAATTCACAAAAAAACCCACCAAAGCCCTAAACAAAGTTTCAAGCTTGTTCCCTCAATTCTCCTAAATAAATTGTGTTGTCTGTTTCTGCCCCTCTCTGAAAATGTTCATTCTTGTCATGTTGTAAAGTGTGTGGGAACAACAGCTTGCCAAAAACTAGTGTTTTATGCTCAAACACAACAAGAATACAATAATGCCTCCAACAAAACAAAGCAATGTCCTTGCTTGTTGTTATGGGTTTAATGAGAGAAATTACTTCCAAAGTATTGGGTTTTGGCAATTTTGAATTTTTATTATTAATTTAAATTAATTAGATTTCAATTTTTTTTTTTTTTGGATAAATGTGATCCGTATCTATTATTTTTAAGGATTTTAATAATTTCGAATCTTTATTAGTAATTTGGATTAATTAGACTTCAAGTTATTATTTTTTCTTGGCAAATGTGACTTTATCTATTATTTTTAACTCTCAACCTTTTGTTCCTTTACATTTCAATTTGTTTTTTTTTTTTTTTTTAACTTGGTTCAAATATATTCTACATAAGATTCATAAATAGTTATTTTTAGATTTTAAAATTAATAACACTCATAAAATTTTTTTAAAGTACATATAATCAAATAGAAGAGATAGAAGTGCATATATTTAAAAATAAAAATAAAAATAAAAATGCTGAATTAAAAATAAAATAAAATATTTATATTCATGTGGTGGACATGTCAACGTTTGCGCATCAATGTAATGGTTGCTTGATTTTTTTTACAAAAAATTCATTAAAAAATTAAAAAATTTATATTAACAACAATTTAGTTAATACAAACAACATATCGTTAATGTAAATTTTTAATTTTTTTCTAACTAAGTATTTTTTTTTAAATTTATGTTGACATAACTATTAAATGAACATGTCAACATGCTTATCTATCCATGTGAGCATAAATATTTTATTTTAAATTCTAATTAAATGTTTGTATTTTTATTTTTTATTTAAATATATGTACTTTTATTTTTTTCTATTTGATTATCTTTACTTCTAAATTTTTATTGATGAGTTTTATTAATTTTAAAATATAATAAATAGCTACAATGTAATCTTATGTAGATTTTTTTTTGACCAAGTTAACTAAAATTAAAAAAAAGAAATTGAAATGCCAATGGTCAAAGGGTTGACCTTTCAAGATAGCAGATAAAAATCACATATGCAAAATAATAATAATAATAATAATAGTTTAGAATCTAATTAACCGAAATGAATAATAAAGGTCCAAAATTGCCAAAACTAAATAGTTTGGGAACAATTTTTGCCATTAAACCTTGCTTAACGGGAAAATACTAACTAGTGAATATGCTTGTTAAAGATGATAATGACGAAGATGGTACGGATTTGGAGGAGGAAGAAGAGATTTTTTTTTTTCCCTGTTTTATTTCTTCTTTTATTCTTTTTCTGTTTGCCACATGTTTAGTCGGGGGTTCGCATAGCGATATTACGAATACAGTTAACGAATATATTAGCAGAGAGTTCAAGAAACCATCCAAATAGAAAAAACCTGCAATACAGCAAACATACAAATCTAAAACTTTCACATGTGTTGAAGAACCTTTACTCCAAAAGCAATGCCAAGAAAAGTTGCAATGGCAATTCCAAAAATGCCAGCAAGAATGCCAGGAACAACCAACGAAGTCCACCCTTTAGCAGTGGCCATTCCACATGCAGTTGTAGGGCCTCCAACATTAGCATTTGATGCAATTAGCAACAGCTTTCGGTCGAAGCGAAATAGCTTTCCTAGTCCAAGGATCACAGCAAGATGAATGGCAATCTGGACCAGAGCAAACATGAAAATGCTGGGCGCAGTGTTGATCACATTCCATATGTTTCCATTTGCACCCACCACAGCAAAAAATACCTTTTTATCGGAAAGGAAATCGAAAAAGGTGTGTTATCTTTTCACCAGATAAAAAACAAAGACTTCTTTACACAATTAAGTTAATAAACTGAGGAAAGGGCCAGATAAAAGGAAAAAAGAAGGTCAGAGCAAAAAGGGTAGAAAAGCGATTTATGGAAGAGCTATGGAGTTGATTTTTTAACACGGAAACATGACTCATGTCAACCCCATGTATAGAAGCAATCCAGGTCCTTCATGTTTAATGCAAACCTACTAAATAAACAGAGTTTTTGTCTAAAACTCAGCTCACCTGCATCAGAATCAGGGCCAAAGCCTCACCAGATGGTGCAAGGTGATTGAACTGGGCTGGGAATGCAGTTGCTAGGATAACAACAATGGCTGTAACGGCTGGCAGGATACCTCCGGGAATTGCAAAGAACTTTGTGATATATTCACCAGCCTTGCAGATAACAAATGACACAGCCAGGGAAGTTGCAGTCTGCAGAACAGGAAGCTTGTTTCCTGACTCAGACCCTCCATTCAATGCAGCATCTGCCAGAAAACATTCTACTAGTCATGTTCAATGCATGAAGGGATCATAAGACAGAGCATCAACAGATGAAGGATTGGAGAGCGGAGCGGGGACTAAAGAAAATGGTGGACAAGATCAGCAGTCATGTATTACAATCAAATGAAGAATTTTGCATCATTCAAATATAACAGAAATGAACAAGTAACTGATCCACCGAAAGATAGTGGAATTGCTAACATTAAAGTAATGTGAAGGTGGAAGTTTGCATACCATCGGTTGACGTTGAAGACTCAGGAGGTATCTTAGATGCCAAAGCAAACAACGATGTAAAATACACTGCACAAATAACATTATCTGCAGCTAGCCCGGCAGCTAAAACTGATGGAGATATACCAAGAGCATCCGAAATGGCAACATAATTCACAGCTACACAATATCAAACCATAAAAAACATGAAATCAATCAAGACGAACAACCAATTGAAATCATGAAAGCAAAATTATACCTCCACCAATATGTCTACCCATCAGAGCAGCTGCTATTTTCCAACTATCCTGACCTAGTGCTCGCATTGGCACAATCGAATAAGCCAATACTGTTCCAACTGTAGTTGCAACTGTCACGCAACAAAACCATCAAACACAATTTCTCGCCAGATAACAAAGAAAACCCACAAACAAATTCCGATTTCAAATCAACCATTATCCATCAACAACTATTTAAGCTAATTTCCACTACATCAAATTACTATAGGAAGTTTGATTATTACCTGATCCTAACAAGAAAGCCAATAGAAGCGTCCCGGTGGACTGAATTACGCGACGCAAATCAGCTCTAAACAGCAACAATGGAACAGCCAATGGTAGCAGAAACTTCAGTACAATAGAATAAGCAGGAGATTCACATGAAATAACCCCCAAATTACTAGCTGCTAGTCCAACTAAAGTACTCACTAAAGCACCACTCAATGCACTTCCAATCTTAGTCCTCTCTGACCTTAACAACAATAATAACAAATCAGTTCACAATATCAGCCGTAAACCTCAAATTTTCCAATTAATTCTTATTGTGTGTTTGGTAACGCGGTTGGAAGTGCTTTTCGTCTGAAAAACATCAAATTGATGTTCTTTTAGATGTTTTTCCGATAGTTTTGGCATCCTCATGCCAAAACCAAAACCTTAACAAATCACCGCAAGGAAAAGTATCAGCTATCACAACTATATGTGGTTCCCACATTCATGCATACATAATTTAGCGAACGGCCGAGATTGCACAATTTCGACAGACTCCAAAATAATATAACGAAAAAGGAAGGAAAGGGATGATGAATTACCAGATACCGAAAGCCCCAGTGGCGAACAATGCAGTCCACATGCCCCATGGATCAGTAGGAGAAATAAGAGGGAAAGTCAGATTCAGATTCAAATTGGATCTAACAGTTACAGATCGAGTCAACTTGGGGATCTTTTGAGGATGCAATTGAGGAGAAAGAAATGTCTGGTTTCTGTTATTTTCCGACAGTAATGTTTGTCTAGTGGAGTTGGTGGTGATAGTGAGAATATTTTGGCGAGAAGTGAAATGTGACCGGTGGGTTTCCGGTGAAGGGACCGCCGGAGAGAGAAATGGAAGTTTTGATGCCATTGAAGAGTGACGACCTCACGTCTCTGCTGAGGTCAAAGAGAGACAGCGTGGGTGAGGACTAAGAAGAAGTGACGTTGGAACTACAAATTTTTTAATACATTATATAGGGAAAACTCAAGTTAGTCCCAAACTATATATATATATATATATATGTATGTATGTATGTATTATATTTTGGATTAAGTCCCTACTCTATTGATTTCATCATTTAGATCCTTAATCTATTTATCTTTTTACCAATCAAGTCATTCTGTTAAAATACTGAGATTAACTTAAACAGTGCATATGCTATTCAACTGTTCTTAACCTACCTTAGCTCCCACAAAACTTAGAAAAAAATCCAATTTTCTTCCTCACAAGTGCAAAAACAATTATAAATTATAACAATAGACTAGAACAATACGTGCAGTCTTGCACATGCTAAATAGTAAATAAATCGAAAAATTGAGTATTTTGTTTTTAAGACTTGGAGTATTAGGATTGGTTAGAAAGCTTGTGCATTATTTACTGAATCTCTAATTATCGTAATAGAACGACTCAGTTGAGAAAAGCTGAAAAAAATAAGAGACTTAATTGATAAAACCAATAGTTAGATACTTAAGTGAGAATTATATAAATAGTTGTGGGACTAATATGAGGTTTGCTCAATTTCTTTTTTTGGTCACTTATATTTTCAAATGTAATCAAATAACTTGATTTTTCTTGTTTCACGATCCGTTGGATCGTAGAGTAAATTATAAATTAATTCTTCTATTTTTAAGAAATAAATTCATTAGTTTTTTTATTTTAAAACTTATTTTTTTCTTTAATCATGAAGTATCACATTTAATTTAATATTATTTTATTTTAAAAAATAATTTTTCTTATTACATCGACATTTAGATGATAAAATACAAGGAACACTATAAATCATTACTGTTGTAAAGAGTGAAACAAAATAATTATATCTTTTTTATCATTTAATACAAAATCTTTGAGTTTATTAAATTTTATCGCCAATTATCAAAATTAAATTATTGTTTTTATTACATAAGGGTCAAATATTTAAATCCAAATTTATTTCACAATGGCTAGATTTTTATTTTTAACCTACAAATGGAATTTCCCTCCATAACCTTTGGGTGAAAATTGTTTTAGCACAAGTGATTTTCTCTTTAATAATTTTCTCAAAACAATTGAGAGTTCTTGATAAAGGAAACACCATTAACTTGCTGTATCCCAAAAAAAAAAAAAAAACACACACACAACTTTTAAGGGATACAGTATGCTTTGAAGGACAATTAATGAATTTACACACTATGATCTATAATTTATTTATTTATTTCATTTTTATTTTTATTGCTAGCATTAAATTAATTTTCTCTATTTTTATTCATTTATCACAATGCCTTTAATTTTTCATGCAATTATTGGTGACAAATGAAAGAAAGGAAAAAAAGAAAAAAAAAGAGAGATTGCTCAAGTGAATCACACCACCATCCACGAACATGGAGCTTTGCTTGAGTACATTATAATTTACTTCCTTTATTTTTCTAAAACAAATTAATTATTTGATCCTTATATTTTTAATTTTTTTATAATTTTTTATTTTAAAAAATAAAATATAATATAATATAAAAGAATTGGCGAGAAAAAAAATGACATTTTTTGAAAAATAATATCAAATTAAACGCAATCAATCCTCGTCAAAGAACCAAATAATAAGTTTTAGAAACAACAAACAAGACTAATTAATTCATTTCTAAAAAATTAAATGACTAATTTATAATTTACTCACCTTGGCTTAAAAAAACAAAAAAAAACCAATAAGAAGAAGAAACCAACAATAGTAAGTTAATCCACTAAGTTCATGTGAATATGGTAGAATTTGCAACAACAATTAATCTTAGACAGGTCTGTTAATGAATTATTCTGGTTAATAGCCGAAAAATTTGGCAAAGGGTGAAATCAAAAAGAGAAAGATAATAGTCAAGAGTGATGGAGGATTATGGAGAAAGTGCACACAAACTGCTACTGCCAAAACAAATCCAATAAAAATTATCAAGGCATTTCCGAAAATGGCAGCAAGAATGGCAGGAACAAGCAATGAACTCCACTCTTTCGCAGCGGCCATTCCATATGCTGTTGTATGGCCTCCAACGTTAGCATTTGATGCAATCAGCAACAGCTTTTGGTCGAAGCGAAATAACTTTCCCAGTCCAAGGATCACAGCAAGATGACAGGCAATCTGGACAAGAACAAACATCAAAATGCCAGGCTCTGTGTTGATCACCTTCCATATGTTTCCTCTTGCACCAACCATAGCCGAAAATACCTGTTTATCAGGAAGGAATTTCAAGGCATGATATCTTTCACCAGATAAAAAACAAAGACTTCTTAGTATCTCCTCTAATTAGTTGATAATTAGAGGAAAGAACCAGAAAAAAGAAGCTTCGAGGGAAGACTCGGAAAGCAATTCATTGATCGACAAGCTATGGACTTCTTAATGTTGTAAATCTCAGGTAGGAGAAATCCATGTCCTTCACAGGTGTTGAGTATGGCTTGTACTATAGGTCTAGGACATATGATCTTTTCGGCTTTTCCTGGCCGGTGATCTGGCCTAGAAGGTTGTTATGCTATATATTTGATGCATTCCAATTTCTATTACAAACAAAACATTCAGCTGTATACTCGGGGTTGAGAATTCTTAAATCTTGTATTGTTCTGATTATGATGAAGTTTTCTCGTATTCGTCTGTGGACGTAGGCATATTCAAAACACATAAAACACCGTGTCTGTATGTGATTGTTTCTGCAATTTTTGCGATTCTAATGGTGATGCAAACCGACTAATTAAACAGAGTTTCTGCTGTGTAAGACTCAGCTGACCTGCATCAAAATCACAGCCAAAGCCTCACCAGATGGTGCAAGGTGATTGAACTGGGTTGGAAACGCAGTTGCTAGAATAACAGCGGTAACTGTTATGGTTGGCAGGATAAGTGCCGGGATATGAAGGAATTCTGTGATATATGAGCCAGCCTTGCAGATAGCGAAGGACACGACGAGGGCAGTAGCAGTTTGCAGAACAGAAAGCTTGTCACCTGACTCATCGGACCCACCCTCCACTGCAGCACCTGTCAGAAAACATTCTACAAGTCACGTTCAATGTATAGAGGCCGTAAGAGAGGAAATCAACATACGGACGATCAAAACGTTGGTGGACAAAGATCGAAAGTCTTGTATATAACAGTCAAAATTAAGATTTTGCATCTTATAAGAGAAATGAAAGATAATGGTGGAACTTTGCATACCGTTGGTTGATGTTGAAGACTCATGATCAGGAGGTAGTTTGGATGCCAAAGCAAACAATGATGCAAAATAAACTGCACCAATAACATTACGTGCAGCTAGCCCAAGAGCCAAAACTGATAGAGGTACATGAAGAACATCCATAGTGACGAAATAGTTCACAGCTATACAACATCAAACCATAAAAATCACTATTCATTAAAGACTAAACAGATGCAGATACCGAAGAACAGTTGAACTCTCAAAAGCAAAAATATACCTCCACCCATTTGTCCAGCCGCGAGGGCAGCTAATATACTGCTACTTATATCCTGACTAAGTCCTTGCATTGGCACCATCCTGTAAGCCAATACTGTTCCAACTATTGTTCCAACTGTCACACAATGGAACTCCCCAAAAAAGTTAACATCTTCTTATTAGATAACAAAGAAATCCCACAAACAAATTTCTATTTCCAAATCAAACTCCGTTTAGCTGATTTTCATACTTATAAAAGTTAATTATTACCTGATCCTATCAGGAAGGCCAATATAAATGTCCCAGTAGACTTACTTACGCGACGAAAATCAGCTCTAAACAGCAATAGTGGAATAGTTAGTGGAAACAGAAACTCCAGCAGGATAGAATAAGCAGGAGATTCACAAGAAATAATCCCTACACTACTAGCTGCTAGCCCAAGTAAAGTGCTCACTGATGCACCGCCCAACACACTTCCAATCTTGGTCCCTTCTGACCTTAAAAACAACAAATTAACTTACATTATCGACAAAACCTTAATCCAATTAATCCCAAGTCGCCAGATTGCATAATTTTAGTAAATAAAAATACAAGCATTAGACCAGCTCTGAATAACCTAATTGGTAGCGGGAAAAGATGTCAGACAAGAAGAAACGCCAAAGGGCCAATCAAAAGCAGATGAATGACAAAAAACGAGAATGCATCTGATCTTTTTGACAACAAAAAATCGTCTACAAAAATTGGAGCCACGAACATTCAGAAAGACCATAAGCCTGCCTTGCTTGACTTTCCAAGGCAGCTAATTGCAAGAGGCCAAAACACCAAAACAAATACCGATTCTTCAAGAGAGATAGAGAAGGGAACTCCACTTACCAGATACCCAGAGCGCCGGAGGCGAAAAGAACAGTCCAGGTGCCCCATTGATCAGTAGGAGAAATAAGAGGAAAACTCAAGTTCAAATTCGATCTAACACTCAGAGATCGATGTGAACTAGTGGGGCTTTTGCTTTTAATAGGTAGGGACAGAAAGCTTTGGTTTTGCCTTCTGTTGTTTGCTAATAGCAATATTTGTTTGGTGGGGTTGCTGCTGGTTTGCGAGATTGCAGTAGTAGCTCTATTTTGGCGGGAAATGAAATGTGACCGTTGGATTTCCGGCGATGGTACTACCGGTGGAAAGTGGAGACATGGAAGTTTTGATGCCATTGAAGAGTTGTACTGTTGACTTCAGGTCTTCCGGTGAGGTCAACGACGTAGTAAAGTTGGAGGATGTACAATTTGAAATTCTGACAAGGACAACACTTCCTTGTTAATTAAATTAAACACATGGTCAAATTAGTCAAGCAAGAACATTAGAATATTTAAATATAATACTAAAAGAATCTAATAAGATTGGTTTTAACGGAGAAAATATTTTTAATCCTTTAAATAAGCAGTTTTAAATTTGAATTTTTGTGTGCCTAAAAAACTACTTGAGTCTGAGATATCCTAAAAATAAACAATAATAATAAGAATAAATAAATCACATTAAAATTTAATGGTTTAATTAATATTGACAATTTATGGATTTTGAGATCATAATAATCTCTACTCATACAAAACCTAAATGATAACTAATAACAAAAGAATAAGATCGTACTTACATGTTATTTTATCCGATAAATTTAAAATGTGAACTTTAAAAGTATGAAAATATATGTGATGGATACAATAATACTTTGAAAATTTAGGATATGACAATTGATTGGGATATATCAGTTTTTAAATAAATATATTATTTACATTTTTTAAATAAATAAAATTAATGTTTAAAAAATCACTATAACAAATAATAGTAAAATTAAAAATTTGGAATGATATTTTCATTTCCGAATAAAATAAATTTATAATTTAAAATTTTTAATATAGTTTAAAATGTTGTTCATTAAAAAAAAAAAAAAACCTTTTTATTTGTAAAGAAAGTACTTTATTAACTCAAGTGAGAGGAAAATTAACAAGTATCATTACTGCATGTGTTTGTATAGTATCTCCATCATATGGACAATTAAACAGAACAAGCATTTTTTATATACTAGTAAAAAATAAATATACACAAAAAATAACAATAATAATAATAACTATGTATAACTTAACAATTGTGTATCTGATATTTTTTTCTTTTTTAGAAAACAGATTTAAGTCTCAATTATTCCTGTTTATTTGCTTATTACATAACAAAAGAATGCTACCTTTATCATATAGTCAAAGGCCCACAAAACTATATAAAAAATAAAAAAAAACTTTCTATCTAGAAAAAAAAAAAAAAAAAAAGAGTACTACGCTGCTGAGTTTTAGCTCAACTATAATTAGTGTTTTTCCTCCTTTAAACCTCTCTCATTCGTACAAAAATATAAATAATAAATAATAACAATAATAAAACAATGTTATATGCAAATATTAGTCGTATTTTTTAATCTAAATATTTAAATTTGAATTGATTAATCAACTATTTTTCGTGAGTTATTAGAATAGTCTGGCCAAGCCCACTTCAAAAGGTCTACCAAATGAAGCCTACCTACTTTATTTGGTCCAATAAGCCCATCTAGATAACCAAACCATAAAACCGCCTTAGATCTATATTGATAAAGATCTAAATTCTGGAAATTAAGCCTCTTTGATCAAGGAAATTAACATGACTCGTTAATTATTCGAAAAAAGAAAAAACCTAATGAGACACTAAAAGGACTTGCGCCACTCTTTCTCACTCGATTAAGAGAAGAGAGCCTGCTAGTCAGCTCTCATCTATGTTCTTGACACTTAGAGCATCTCCAATGATGTTTTTTACTTTTAGTTAGCATTTTTAATATAAATAGAGAGTATCATTAATTATATAGATTGAAGATCAATATCCTCTCTAATGCTACTCTCTATTTAACTTTTTATTTTGATAAAATCTATAAAATCCAGAGAGACTATTGGTGAAGAGGTTGAGTGACATAGGAAATAGTGATTTTTATTAATGAAATATAAGATAAAGAGTCATTTAGACTCTTTAGTATTGGAAAGCCAAAGACACTCTCTATATCAATTTTAAAGATAAAGATTACGATAAAGGGAGCATTGGAGATGAAATTTGAATCAAACATCTTTATTATAAAAAAAAATCTTAATATAAAAAGAGCATTGGAGATGCTCTTACACTATATATTTTGACTAAGTTAGGCTTTCCAAATTAAAAGATTATTTGTTATCATTTTTGTTTTATGTTTTTATTTAAAACAACGTAAAAAACCAATAGAAGTTAAAAATTTTTCAATACCACATAAGAATGATTTCCATAAAGATATCCTAATCTAATGTATCATCAAATTCATTCATTTCCTAATCTAGTGCATGAAAAATAAACAGTGTATTTTAAAAAATAATAAGGAAACTAAAATAAATAATTAGCTATAAAATGAATATTCACGCATTCATCAATTCAACACTTTTTAGATTAATAACATGAATGTTTTCATTTATTATACATAATTAATCCCACCTTGTATTGATATATGATGATGCACAAGTTTTTGAGCATATAATTTTACTTTTTTTTTAAATCAAAATAAATTGAAAATAACGAAAAGAATTGAGTTACAAGAAAATTTTAAAATATAGGAATTCAATAATTAGGTTTTGAAACAAAGAAAGTAATTAAATTGAGACTAATTTATAATTTACTAAATTCAAAATGATAAAGAAAGTAAAATATATAATTCAGTCACTCAACAATTCAAGACTTTTTAGATTAATAACATGTTTCCATTGTTATAATTTATTAATACAATGGAGATAGAATTTTACAAACATCCTCCAGCTTATTGATATACCCATCTTCAACATATCAACCCAGTGAATGATGAAGAAGGATAGAAACATACATAGAAACATGCTTGACAAAAACTAGATGACACCAACGTTATTACTTCATTATTTATTTGCTACAAAGGATTCATCTGCTTCATGATGCGCACATTTCAAAGAGGCAGACTTCAGAGCAACAGTCGAGAAATGGATCGCATGGTTGGCCTGTAGGGATACAATAGTTAGGGATCACAGAACCGATGATGTTTGAGAGTGGGAATTGCCTCATAGCAGCAGCAGAATGGCCAATAATGGCAACAACAAGCAAGGCCATCATCAGAAGCAGACCTACCTTCTTGCTCATCATTTCCATCGTCTCTCCGGCCAGCAGTTTCTCCCAATCGATTGAAGTGCTTTAGTTAAATTGTTTTGTGTTTTGAATGTATGATGATGCCTCTTGCACAAGGAGAGCCCTTTTATAGTGGTTTATGTATAAATAATACTGATAGTGAGAAGAAATAAAAGGACCACATTCCTTACTGGTCTCCACTCTCCACTATAAGTGGTCGTTGGACATGCATGGCTTTCAAGCAATAATTGCAGGCAATTAAGTTGGCACGTGAGCCATCAAATTAAAGTAGTGGGCTTGTGATGGAACAAGCACAGACCCCGAGATATATATATATATATATATATATATATATATATATATATATATTTTTTATTTATTTATTTTTTAAGTACAACTTTTATCATGCATTGAAAAAATATCATAACCTAAGAGGCTTATGTGATTTCTTACAATATTGTTTTCAAATTTTAGTAAAAACCACAAACAAATTATATAATTTTTTTTAGGTTGAAAGGGCCAAATCTTTCCTAAATTTGAGTTTATATAAAACTGGAAAGAAGTATCCTCTTTGGGATTAAACATTAATCGATTTATCATCCATTTCCTATATAAATTAAGATTAATAAAGTTTTAGCGGTCAAATAAATTAAAATCTAACTATCAAATTTAGTTAACATTTTTTTTTTTTTTGTCTTGCAAAGACCTTTTACAGTTACCGTTCTTAATGAATTTCCATGGCTTAATTTTATTTATTTATTTATTTTGCCAAACGATAAGAAATTTTATTGACAAACCGAATACAAAGTGGGTTTTATATCTTCAAATGGTTAAAAAAAAAAAAAAAAAGATTACACTAATAAAAAAAGAAAAATTAGAAAAAGACAATTACATAGTACAAGAGAAAATATCCATAAATTAATCTTAAATCTAGTAGCGACTAGTAATTTTGTTATTTCATAGAACTTCTTCTCTCGTAATAACGACTGTTGCCCATCAAATCTGCTCCGATCAATCTATTATGGAATGAATCTCTACTAAAAACTCTATGGAAGCAAGAAAAAACCAACCCAATACCAGAAAAATTGAATACCACAAAACAAAAAACATCAGATATAAAGTTATAAAAACTCAGTACGAGATTATTGAAAAAATATATATTAAAAAAAGAAAGAAAAGATGCACTGCAGGCTGTGGCAGCTAAGAAAAACTTCAAGAGACTCTAATTTTTTTTTCTTTTTTTTAGAATAAAATCAAATTACCACTTTTAATTTTATCGTGTATAAATATTCTTAATCTATGATATTTTGGGAAAGGGAATGCTAATTTTGGTGGATAATTTAGTTTTTTGGTTTGACTTCACATATAAGTTTTTGATTTGATCGATTATTGAACTGTTTCTTAAATCAAATTAACTCAAACTTATTACCGTTAAAAAATAATTAAGATTAATTAAATACGATCATTAATTTTTAATCTTAATTAAATCAAAACAATTCTTTTACCGTGTAACTCATCCCAAGGTGTCTCCATTTACAGTGTTTGTTGGACCATGCATAGCTTTCAAGCAATAATTGAGTTGGCTTGTGATGGAACAAGTACAGATCCAGGATTTTTCTTTCTTTCCTTTTTTAGTGCAACTTTTATCATGCATTGAAAAAATATCATACCCTAAGAGGCTTAGGTGGTTTCTTACATTATTGTTTTCGAATTTTAGTAAAAACAGCAAACAAATTATATAGTTTTTTTAG